CTTGTTGGACAATATCTTAACGAGCTCTCGAAACTGTCAGTCAATCTGACTCGTACCAACCAACGAATAACGGCCCAATCTTTCCCTTATCACAATTTTTCCCCCCATATTGGGGCCTGTACGACACCAGATAACCTTCGTTATTGTCCCGAGTCGTCTGCTCTGGAGTGTTATTTAGTGCACAGTCGTTCTCGCCGTCTGATATTTTTTTTTCTTTTCTCCTTGTGGGCCTTTTTCGGAAGTGAGATGGTATCGCGAGTTTGTGGAGTATGAAGTGCCGTTGAATGGCGCGGCGATAAGATTAGGAAAGAAAAGCCAGTGATCGCAGTCGTTTGCCACCGATTCCGTGGGGGTTGTTGGGTAAGGGTCTCGAGTATTTCATATGATTGGCAGGCTGGCTGGACGGTGCATGTGGAATGGGATCGTTTTCATTTGTGTTGATAAACAAATTTTCTGACGACTGGTCGCACAATTTTTCACTATAATGTGTAGAGTCACAGTGAAGGCAAAGGCATATTTCACATACTATGAAACCTCATTTGCTGGGCTTAATTTTTTTTTTTTTTCCGTTTCTTGAATAATATTACAAAAATCAGTCAAATTCCCTCAGACTTTGTCTGTTGTCACATCATTATTTTAGTAATTTATATAGATTCAAAAGGCTGAATTAAGTTGAAACATACTACGAGTAATAAAAGGATATTTGATACATAAAAAATGCTGGTACATGTACAATCATTGCTGAAAAACCTCTTGAAACATGTTTCAATACGGCCAAGTTAAACTATTTTCTTTTTGTATACATTTCATTCCTCACCATTTTTTGTGAACTTTTCAAATTCTCCTTTTATCCTGGTACCTTCATACCAACCCAACCGCCAGCAACAGTGGCAGTCGAGACTTTTTGCACCTCCACTTCCCCTTCTGAAAACTCGAGAGCCAACACGAACGGAAAGATTTTTATCTCTGTGTTTCATTCTTTCCCCGCACGCCGCGACGGTTAGGGCCTTGTGCCAACAAAAGCAGGCTGTTTATGATGCTACCAGGGCTGCCTAGTTGCAGCGAAGGGCGTTGGCGGGTCAGCAAAAACTAACCGACAGCCGGCCAAATGTTGGGGCTCTGCTCAGCACATGATTCCGTGCTTACAATTTCCGTGCTTGCAAGTTCTGTGCTTACAAGTTCCGTGCTTACAATTCTGTGCTTACATACATGTAATCCGCGCTTACATACAACTGCACCATTACCATTGTTCAGCTTACTGCGCTAGCCTGCACCAAAATTTTGTGCTAACCTTGTTAGCACAGAATTTTTAGTCACAGTATTTGCGAAAGCTAAAATTCATTGCAAAGTCATGAATAAATATGCTGAAACATTTACTCAAATTTTCATTGAGTATTGGTGCTTATTAAGGGTTTTAACAGTTTTCCAACAAACATGTCAGTTTTTGTAAAATGTCAGTTATTTGTATGAATGTTGTCAGTGGTATTTAAAATATCTTGAAATGACAGTTTTCATCTGTGAATATTGATTCAGTTCTGTTTGACTGGTACGAACCAATTGTCGCTCAACGACAGATGTTCTGGTAGCTTTTCAGTTCCTAGTAATTTCGTTACCGTGTCACTCAGTGTTTTTTTTTATGTGTTGTCTCTTCATTTGTTGATTTATGTTAATTTATTTATTTTTTTTTTTTTTGGTGACTAAATGATAGTGTGATGTTTGTCATCTATTTGTCACTGTCTTTTCATTGTCATTTTGACATTTCTATTCGAATTGAGTAGAGACACTGCCATTCCTTAATTGTCATTGGTGTGTAAAGATTGTCATTTCATTGTTGGGACCATGATGTCATTGTCCGCAATATTGTAACCAGTGACAATGATCAAAGTTGTTTGTCATCGTCATTAATAAATGACATTCTCACAGACATCATTTGTGATCCTCAGTATACAGACATTGTTTTTATCGTTTGAAAAGAAAAGTGTCATTTTTTACGTTTTTTTGTGTCCCAGATTAATGAGCCACTGTCTTTTTTTTGTTTTGGTCATTATTTTTTACTTTGTCATGGTCATTTTGTCCTTGACATCATTAGGGGTGTGCATTTACGGGAAGAACGGGAACCGGGTACCCCCCCCCCCCAAAAAAAAGGGGTATCCAGGTACCATTAAAAGAAACCTTACCCCAAAATTCAAATCTCAGAAGTTGCTGTTCAGATTGTTCAGGTCCACACAATAATAATATAATACTAAGATGATACTAATAATAATTTATTCTTACAGCATTTTACATTAAAATATCAAAACGCTTTACAAAACATCAAAACCACATAAAAAGTAAACCAGTTAGCAATACTACTACATCAGTGTGTCAATACAGCAAGCTACAAGTGTGTACACTGTACAGCTTTCTAGGTTTACGATGTAAACTGCAACTTTCGAGAGCGTCACAAACATGAAATATGTTTTGTTTTCCCATGTAGCGTGGTTTTCATTTTGAAAAATCCCCCACAAATGACATCCAAAACCTTTCTTTTTCATGGTCTGAGAAGTTACTTAGTAATTTGTTAAGTTGGTTACGGGTACCTGGTTGCAATTGTTAGTCAATTACTCCCCAGTGACCTCATTTTCAGTAGTAAATAGAGTTTTCTGGATTTTGCAGGTACATATGTTTAGATTGTGCGTGAAGTACTTTTTTTCCCAATCAAATGACAAAAATTGAATCTTTGTAAAAATGCACTGACAAAATTGTTGTAGGCGGTAAGTTTTAATTATATGGGGAGTCATCCCATTTTTGTCAATTTATCTTTCATAACCTTATGTACACGTACACTGACACTTGTTCAAAATGCTGGTTGGTAGAATTGCAAGTGTTGAGCATTTTATTATTTTTTTTTAAAGGGTTTTTGTTCTGTCTATTTTGTTGACCGTTTATTGAATTATCGTTGTTGATTTTGCATGGTGGAGCCCCCACACGAGTTGAGTTGTACATGTAGCTTTGTTTGCGGAAACAAATAATGTATCCCTAAACGTGTGAAATCATGTTGTTGGGGGGGGGGGGGGCTCTGAAAGCGACTAAAAAGCTAAGACGAATATTGCTAGAAAACATCTGTCTGTGTGAAGATGTTCTAACACCCCTATGTTCTACCAACCTGCACATTAGATTGTGTTCCTCCCGGTTAGGGTTAGAGTTATAGGGTTAGGGGCTAAGGGTTAAAGTTTTAGGGTTTGGGTTAGGAATATGAGCAGTCAGGACAGAGGGGTGTCAGAACATAGGTGTGTCGGAACATAGGTGTGTCGGAACATAGGTGTGTTGGAACATAGGTGCGTGACCAGTATTTCATGGCTGCTACTACAGCCAAAACGTTAGCCATCTTTACAGGGGCAACTGGATTTTTTTTTTTCAAATAACTAGAGGCAAACAAATATGAGAACAAAACAAATAAAAAGGGGACGCCCTATTGTAAACTTGGACCAATTATTGCAAAAAAAGATGTACTGAAAAGAAAACTCAAATTCCAATTCAAAAAAGTACCTCGAGATATGCAGGTCCCCTCAACCATGCCCAATTGTTTTTTCAGCAACCTGTTTTTCTTTTAGTTCTACAGGGTGAATCAAAAAGAAAGTGACAGAATTTGAAGAAAAAAAATTAAACAAAAATACAGTATGTGGCTTGCTGCATTTCATAAAAATAACACAGCGTCGTGAAAAGTGAAATCCTGAAAAGTACAGGTACAGAAGTGAAGGCCACATTACCCGACTACTGCACTTCTTTGTTTGGACCTGCCAACAGATTGAACAAAAACACCATCTCAATTTATTTTGAAAATACTGAAAACAACTCCTGCTTCTGTACTTTTCTTGTTTGAAATAACTGACGACTCCGTGGAAAACAACTTGAATGAAAATCAACATAATCCTGTCACATCTAGGTTTTGTTTCTCAGAAATTAGACGCAGTATCAGATGTTTGGATCTTTTTGTTTTTTAATAATGAATCCCTGGATGAGTTGACTGGAGATTAACAGAACACAATTGAAATTTCCCAGGTTTTATTAAACTGTTCCACTACACGACTGTTTTATATTGTGCAACATTGTTGAAAAGGGGACTTCTTTTGGCATCTTCCCAATCAGGCAAGGTCTCGGATGAAACAATGGGCATTAACTTTTAATAATAATAATAATAATAATACCGGAGTCTTATCTAGCGTAGGTATCTACCAACATTTAGATAAAAGGTGCTGGAAATTATATTATTAAAGACAGGTAAATGAAGTCTATGAGAAATATGAGACCCATTGTGTAGTAAATATAAGGGTTTACAAGGTGCTGCGACACATATTGCAGCCACTGCCAAAAACACCCGGGCAAACCCCTTCTTTTAGAAGTTTTGAATACTTTCACATTTAGAACTGATGAAATTATTGTTGAAATGCATACTTGGTTTAAAGATAGTAATGGCACTAAAATCCCTGAGAACTTATTCTTTCTGGCATGCTGTCATTTTGAAGAAAACATTAAAAGAAGGTAAATTTCCTTTAGTAGTCCGTGTTTAATTGGGCGAAGCCGTGAACGGGTGCGAACAAGCATCGACACAATGCACAGTTGCTGTAATTCGTCGGCGCAGTGCGTGACATTGCGTAGCTGCAATCGCCTGAATGAGAACGTGTCCCGGTTGCTGATTTTTGGCGCAATTCCAAACATGACTCGACAGCTTTTGAATTGAAAGAGAGATCCTAGAATATTGTTTTCTCGAAATATATATCATTTACTGAGCTACAACTTCATCATGTTGTTAAGCACCTTTCTCTAGATTTTGAGCACTATCATTGCTTCAAATGGGGAAAACTGCAGAAATGACATGTATACTCTACTAATAAGGATATTGACACTAACTGATGTAGTATTCATTTCACAGATTAAAATATTGCAAAACAAGGTACCATGAAAATAAAAATGGAGATAATTAAAAGTCTCTCCCCCCCCCTTTTTTTTTTGCATCTTAGGTATATCCATTCTAAGGAGAAGCCCTTCAAGTGTCCAGAGTGCGGTAAGGGGTTCTGCCAGGCACGCACCCTAGCAGTCCACAAGACCCTACACCTCCAGGAATCGCCCCATAAATGCTCCACCTGCGGACGCACCTTCAACCAGCGTAGCAATCTCAAGACCCACCTCCTAACGCACACGGACATCAAGCCGTACAACTGCGAGCACTGCGGGAAAGTGTTCCGGCGTAACTGCGACCTGCGGCGGCACAGCCTGACCCACGGGGAAGGGGGCGAGGGGCTCATCGTGTCGGGGGGCGAGGAGGCGTCCGGCCTGGAGGAAGGGGAACTGGAAGTCGAAGTCAGCGTACAGGAGAACACCCTTAGTGACAAAATCCCACAGGTCGCCATAGCAACAGTACAATAATTTAGTCTGGTTCCGGTGATGAGGTCTGGCTCCGGACTCGAAAATAATTTGTGACGCGACCATACAAAATGTGTCTAAGTACGAACAGGTCGCATAAAAAACAACAGTACAGTTAATGTTAGTCTGGGTCCAGTGACAGTGGTCCGGTTCCGGACCTCTGAAATTAAAAGTCGGGTCACATTAATGAACAACGGTCATAACCAGTTTGATGGTTTATACATGTACTTGTATGTAAATGATACATATACTCTGTAAATGATAATGTACATGTATATTTGCAACTTGTCTCTGAAGAAAATGTTGAGCATTAAAACTAATCAGAACCAAATATGGTTTTTACAAGTTTGGTTACGGAACCAATTTGGAGAAAATGTTATTATTTTTTTCTTGGTCTTTTGGAGAGAGTATGTTGAAAAGAGAAAGAAAGTTTGAGATTCAACTCATATTTATTATTTTCTGTGTTGATATTCTGTTAGAAATATGTATTATTGGTTTAAATATGTAAATGTGCGGCATAATTATTTATTGTTCATTTTTGTAGAGTTTTAGGCCTCCATAATTATGGAGACGCAACTATGGTCGGTCGTATCGGTAGATCCTTTTTTTTTCTTTTTTTTTGGATCTTAGTTTCTCTTTTTTCATTGATGAAAATGAAAACCTTTTTTCTTTTGCAGTCAGTATTAAATCTTTCAGTACAAACATACCTCTGAAAAAGTGGACCCGCCCACTGTTGATATGTAAATAATGTGACTTGGATGTTCCATTTTTTAATTTGGAGGGGTGAGCATGTGTAAAATGTAGCTGAACTCTTTTCCCTTTTTTGTAGATGCCCTTTTCCCCAAAAATTACTTACAGAACAGTACAATTTATTAAACATGTGGCATAAAAACTGACTTCATTTTTGCGCTGTACTGTTTTTCTCCTTTTTTTGTTGAAGTTTGATAAATGTAAATTTACAGCAAAGTTGAAATTAATTTTCAACAAAAACAAATTCATGTTCATATGATGTGCATGTGTACAATATAACAACTACTACACTTCTATAATAATGTGTTCATTGTTGAGCGTGTCATTATTCAGGTCACAAGAGGGCGACATTTACAAATAAAGGTTAGGGTTTAACATGTAATTGTGTGAACTTTGAAAAATTATATCTGTGAATTTTTTTTTTTTTAATGAAAAGTGACCAAATTATTCCTCTAAATTTCATGAACTGTGTTCCAGTAAAACTTACTCGAAATATCCTTTTTTTTTGTTTCAAAAGATGGATAAAAGGTTCGTGTGGAGTCCATTTCTAAGATTGTGATATCAACTTGGCAATGTGCCAAAACTTCCTTCAAAAACTGTGTCAGTACTTGTGGTGTACACGTTCCTATGATGAGAATTTTTTTTATCATTTTAAGAATTTCTTTTTAGTTTTTCGCAAAGCAGATTGTGCGTGTGAACCTAATATTCCAATTGCCAAATTTTACCCGTTGTTGAATTCGTGGAAATTGTGCCCTGTTTAAACAGATGTGTCACTTATTGTGAAAAAAAAAGAGAAAACAAAAACGACATGAAAAACAAATGATTCAGTTTTGTAATAACCATACGATGAAACGGTGCTATGTGATTGTGCTATGCATTATTGTAAGAAATAATGCCATTGTAAATTAATAATTATAAAAATGTCAACAGTCTCTTAAAATGTTCAAATGTAAACTCAAAGAAAATTAAACAATACTTGTTTTGTCTTAAATGTTGAAAACCTTCAGCCTCTGTTCACCTAAGTAAACTGTGTTTGTTCACTTTCCAAACTTTTTTGTGTAATTTTAAGTTAAAAGAAATTGGCGTTTCAATAGCTACTGTTTTTTTTACTGGTTTGCCCAAATTGAGGTTAGGACTTTTACACATTCTAGAAACATTAATGTATGTAATTTCGTGTACAGTTCATGTACATTCCAGTCATTTTAAAGCTATTTTAATTTATTTCATTGTTTTAAATTTGTCACAATAAAACCTTCATTAAAATTTGACTTTTGATAGGATATCTTGCATGGGGGCGTAAATTATGATTGTTATACCTCTGTCTTGAATACCGTATTTTCATTGGCCTAGAACGATCACTTGATAAGTTTAGGCTCTTCACAGATGTTTTTATTTTTTACAAACATGCTCTACAGGCTGAGTAAAAAAAAAACCACGAAACCCAAATGTCGGGACCATTGTTTTAGTGAAGTTCTGCATGTAGCACTTTCAAAATCTAGGACATGAAAGCCCAATTCATAAGCTTTTTTTTAGTACAAGAATCATTCAAATCACTCATGTACTTGTCAAGTTACAGAGTTTTAAACACAACCACCGTTTTAAAGTTCTGTCCACGGATCACAAAAAAGGTGTGCGTTCTTTCAGCAAAACGAAAACAATTCACACACATCCTTATGTGATTTGTTTTCATTTTCCTGAAAGATCACTGAACTTCTTTGTGATCCATGGACAGAACCTTAAAACGGCAGTTGTGTTTAAAGCTCCGTAACTTAAAAAGTACACGAGTGATTTGAATGATTCTTGTACTAAAAGAAAGCTTATGAATTGGGCTTTCATATCCTAGATTTTGAAAGAGCTACATGTAGAACTTCACTAAAACAATGGTCCCGACATTTGGGTTTCGTTTTTTATTTACTCGCCCTGTAAGCTCACCTTCATGCACTCGTGCGTGGTTCGAGTCCCACCCTAGTGAATATTTTTCTGATAAACTCCATCGTACATTGCTTATAATATTGTCACTTCAATCAGTATGAAATGTACTAAAAGAAAAGTGGGGTTTCTTTGGAATATACAATTCAAATTTGAAATGAAATTGTTGCCTAATGTAAAAAGTACTCGTACATGCGACTAAAATTAATTTTGAGTAATCTGTTGATTCCAGTTATGGGTTTTGTAGGAGATTTTTTTGGAAATGGAACAGGTCTTATTCGTGGGCAAGCGAGGGCACTCTAACGACGTTTACATGTTGCTAAAATTCAAAATTACATTTTTACAATTTTAATTTTAGCATTTGAATAAAGTTGCTAAACTATTTCAATAAATGGCTTTTTCCAATGTTTGTACTCGGAAAATGGGTCATGAAGCAATCTAATTCGCTAAAACAAAAATGGCGTAATAATTTGTTTAATATCTATTTAAAATATTTGGAGTCTGTTGGAAGAAGGATTAAAAGAATCGGGGGTTTTATTTATTCTGTAAGTATAGGTCAGTTTGCCACCATTTAAAATATTTTTACCCAACTTTTTCCAGATTCCCTCAACTGTTAGAGACAGTTTGTAATTTTAGAAAAAAAATGTTAATTTATCCCGTTCAATTTTTTGTCAATTTTCAATTATTTTTATTCATAATGCAATTGCGTTATGAGGTGTTTACTTAAATTTATGTGCAATTAGTTATTACATATTACCACCATAGGAACCTTGTAAACTATGGACAAAACTTTAGTATATTTTTTGCTAGATTTCCAGTTATTTTTTTTTTTTTTTTTTTTTTCAATTTAATCCACCTTTTCCAAATTCTACATAATTGCCAATAAGATTATTTTAATTGAAATGATTATAAGCAAGTGATGAAGTTTATTATGGATTTAGTAAAGAAAGGAATTTCTTCCACCAAAAACCAAAAACAAATTGACATTTTGAGACAATGATGAATGCAATAAAAAAAACATAACATTGAGAAAATATTTCTGTGTGGAACCTATTTGCTTTTATAAGTATGCTTCAATTTTGCTTGTGTTGGTTTAAATTATTTCCCCAAAATAGTGAATTACATCATTGTCTTCTAAATATAAAACCACCCTATAAAAAGAAATTTGAATTTCTAGGCTTTGAAGGAAAAACTTTTCATAGTAGTATTTCTTAATTGATTTCATTTTTATTCAAATATATATTTCTGAACTCAGAAAAATTGGTACGAAATAGCAAGGAAAAAACCTGAAAATCAGGAAGTTGAAACGTTGATTTGTCAGATTTTTTTCCAAGATATGACTAGTTTGAGGGGCATGTGGGGAACATACATTTTTCGGGGGGAGGGGGGGGGGGGAGAGGGAGGGGGCACTGAAGGTTTTTGTTCAATTAAATTAGACACTTCATAAAAATTACAAAGAGCACATTTTGTTTAGTTTCTTTATACCATTCTAGTGCATTGGTTTTAATCATTTTGACATTAAAATGGATTACAAAATTTAGAAATACATGTACCTTGTTACTTTTAGTCTTCAAAATTACCACACAAGTAAAGTAAGGTAGAGGCACATTAATTAATCCAAAAGTTACACAAATTCTGTTATATTCATTAACAATCCAACATGAACATGCCCCTGAGACTAAAATATGAAAATATAGAGGAGAAAAAAAGGAAAGAATGTTTTGACTGAATACAAATGATTCAACCTGAAAATAAATACATAGGAACAAAAGTAATGAGTAAAACAAAACTTTAAAATGCCAACTAAAGTGCAATTTTAAACAATTTTTATGCATGTCTGTGGGCTATAGTCATCGAAGTTTATGGAATTATCAAAATAGCAGAATAACTGCCAAAAAAATGCTGTTTCCCATACAAATCCTAAAAAAAACCTCACAAAAGTACAACCCTGTCAACATTTGTCAAAATTCCAAGTTGGAACTAAAAAATAAGACCATTATTGTATTTTTTTTTATAACTTCTACACATGAAAATATTGGAATACACATTTTAAACATTAGGCAGTTTGAATTGTGTATGAAAAATAAAAGGGAAAATGTGCATGATAGATACAAATGGTAGACTTGCCTTAAAAAATATAAACATGTACAATATTAACATTGAAAATAAACACTGCATAGCTAATGTAGTACACATAGGGAATAATCACCTGCAATGTTAATAACTACACTTTCTTCAACAAAAATACAAATATGTTTTTCTACATGTAGATGGTGTTACGTGCCCGTCCAGTTGCTGCACTGAATTTAACCAATGTGGAATATTTATTTACAACTATGCTGTATATTAATGATAAAAACCAAAGTAAATCCCCAAAACATTACAAAAATAAAATGGCAGTAAACCAGCATTGAAACTGCAAAGAATGAAAATTGCACTTATTTTTCCCCAACAAATTCAAACCTCGTCTTTTTTTACCCAAAGTGACATGATTACCTGGTTCGATTCTTCTTAAAATTCGTTAAAATTTCTCATTTAAAACTTGAAAGAGCATCATAGAGTACATAAGGCATTTTAATGCAGATGGCACACACTTGACTATTGAGGGCGCTATTTACAATTACTGGTGGTCAATCCTTGAAATGTTTACACTAGTTTGTAAGAAAAGTTTAACTATTACAAAAGTTTAGGTTTCATGTAAAAATTACAAAGAAATTCAACCCAAAGCACTTCAAAAGGGCAGAAAAAGCTACAACCTAGCCATTTTTATAGTCAATCATGATACTGAGAAAGTTGGCTGCGTAGGTTTTTCAGGGGAAAGCCACTGCTTGCTGCTAGGGGGATGGTTGCCAAGGGGATAATTGCTAAGAAACAGCCACTCGCAGCAATTCTGCTACTTCAGTGTGTCCAAATCTTTCGGCATCATCTAGTGGCGTGTGGTCCCATCTGAAAAAAATGAATAAAAAAATATGAAATGGAAATATAAAAATATCAACAACTGAAAGTAATACGATTGTGTTTTGTGTTTGTCCATATTTGTTCCCACAATGCTGTGCGGTGTTTCAAATAATAATGTTCCTCAATGGTGCGCTATGAAAAATTGTTCCCTGGACTCTACACATTTGTGTCTTATGGGATGGGATTGATGGTGTTCTATGTAATATTGTTCTCTGGACAATGAACATACCTGCCTTTAGGATGGAATTGATGAAATGGTGTTCTATGTAACATTGTTCACTAGACACAACACGTACATGTCTCTTGGGATGGGACTGAATGAAATGGTGCGCTATGAAATATTGTTCTCCAGACACTCAACATACATGGGATTGATGAAAAGGTGTTCTATGTAATATTGTTCACTGAAAACTACATATACCTGTCTTTTGGGATGGGATCAATGAAATGATGCTCTATGTAATATTGTTCTCTAGACACTACTCATACCTGTCCTTTGGACTTGGATCGACTTTACATTTCTCCAGCAGGAATCGAACCACCTCCACGTGTCCCTGCGCCGCGCCCACATGCAGGGCCGTTCGGTCGTCGTAATCTCTCTGCTCCATATCCTCACCCTGTAAGAGATACTGTCTGAGCACGCTCACGTCGCCGTTGTATGCGGCGAAGAGAAGCTTGACGACACGCGAAGCCTGCGAAAAAAAATATTTAAATTCTCTTATTGGTAGAACTGGGGCTAAGTTTACAGACCTGCTGGCAACAAAAAAAGGCCGAGAACGGAAAAAATTTCCTTAGCGTAAACCGTTTACCAGCCAAAATATCATGTGATGTACATAGCTTTTGGCTGGTTCCCAGCAGACAATATTGGTTAACAGGATTTGTAAAACAAAAGCCATTTTCTAACCTGTTTGAGTTTGAAGTTGAAATACTTCCACAAATTTGAAAACCCAAGAAAAATTATTTTATGCGAGTTTGAGCGACGCTGTATGACGCTATCAATATATGGTTCACTGTTTGCCAATGTAAAATGTAACAATTTCTTGAAAGAGAACGGGGTGCTGTACCTTGCTCTGGAGGTACTGTCTTCTAGGGTCTTGCTTTTTGGTCGCATGGAGGAGGTTGTCGTAGTTGTGGAAATTGTACGTGCTGACAATTTTCTGTAGGGAAGAAAAAGTTATAGATGAGAATTACGAATATATTTTGTCAATCCACTGATTTTAAGCAGTTCACGCCGGGATTATTTTGACAAGAACGGAACGAGGTACGGGATTACTTTTCACTGGACCTCAAGCTAGGTGGGTTGAAGCCATCACCCTTGGGCAGCACACTCATATTTTCAGCCTCGCTTGCTGCGAGCAGGTCGCTGACAGATATTGCCAGCCTCGCTCCCTGCGTGTTTATCCGTCATCCGTTCTGAATACTGCAAAACTTTTGCATGTAAACACGGCCTCCGGTGCGAACTGGTTAAATATGAATGAAAATGTCAAAACATGGAACATTTGAAAACACAGTACAGGATGTTACATAAAATCACGGAACATTTTTCACAAATTAGCACCTGAAACAGGTGAAGTGTTTTGCAGGAGATTGACGTCTTAACCCGTCAGCCGTGCCTGTGTATAAAAACAGCCAGTGCGTGTTATCACGTCCTCCGATGCAAACTGGTTAAACTCACCTCACAAAAGTCTGCTCCTCGGACGCTGTTCCCAAACCGGTCCAGTGGAGGCGAGAACAACATGAAACCCATCACGTTAGGCACGACGACCATTATCCCGCCCGCAACTCCAGATTTGGCGGGCATACCAACCTAAAGCGAGAGAAAAAATAGTCCAGATTTTTTTTGCCGTAAGTACTACACTGTGGAGAAAAACATGCGACCAAATCCTACAAAATGAGTCTTAAGGACATTTTTGTTTATTCCAGTTTGCTAGATCAGAACTTTTGGTCTGGTAACCGTGGTAGTTCGGTTAAACTGTCGGGCGCTGTGGTGCAATGGTTACGGTGTTTGACTAATGTGCGTGCTCTGACGGGGAACACAGTGCTTGTGTTCTTGGGCAAGACACTTTACTACAATTGCCTCTCTCCACCCAGGAGTATAAATGGGTACCGGTGAGGGTAGAGACTACATTATGCTGATCTCGAGCTGCTGCAAAAAACTGGTCTCATTCTTGATGAACAGGGATAATAATAGTAAAGTGCTTTGAAACCTTAGGTATAAAGCGCTATATAAGCAACAAATAATTACTATTTATTGTTAAATGTACACAAATCAAGGGTACGTAAGGCTTGCGTTAAAAGCGTGATTCCTCAGTCTATACCACAGCAGTGATAAATCGTTTGCACCATTGCGATTTTTTTCCTACCTTGAAAGCAAACTGGCCAGAGTAGTCGTACATCCCGCATGACGACATGACAGTCAGCGCATCGCGGACTGCCGCGGGGTCGAACACTTTCTTTCCCGTCATTGGACAAATGCCACCATTTGCGAGCGTGGCAGCGATAACACTTCCCGACTCGCACGTGACTTCAAGAGAACAAACCTATAATCACAAAAATTAAGAAAAGCAGGGGTTTTTTTTAGTAGGAATATGACAAACAAGAGGTTGAGTGTTTCCATTGGATGAGGGAGGAAGCACAATTAATTTACTTTGTAACACAAGCTGTTAAATCACTTATGTCTATGACTAACCTGGAAGTACAGGTCAAGTGTTTCCATCGGATTTACTCCCTCTGGGAAGCAGCCATACTCTTGCAGTAGGTAGCATAGTGCATAATTTCTATTCCCTGATTCTTTCTCTGATAAAAAACTTGGGGAGAAAAAAAAGGACAAAATCATAAAAATGGATACAAAAAATGCCTTTTCAGAAGGCAGATACTGTGAATTAAAGAGACTCAATGTTGAGTTTTGAGTTCTGTGAACTGAGTACTGACTGAGTTCTGAGTATTTTAGTCTGGTGCCGGTTTTTGACTTACGTTGCATTGCTAAATCCAATGTACTCGCCGCCGGCCATCTCCTTGAAGCGTTGCATGATGTCGTCAAAACGGTCCGCCATGTTGCGGCTTTGCTGTAACGAAATTAATCAGGGTTTGCATTGTCTTGGTTTGTCTTTTTGTTTTTGTTTGTATTTTTATTTATTTGTTTTAGCAAACTTTACAACAACAAAAAATCGACTCACATTGAGAAGTGACAGCATCAACATTGCACCGGAGTTGTTCATGGGATTGTGGGGCTTGTCTGGAATGTGGAAGGAAAAAATCCATGGGAAAAAGAATGGAAAAGCATGAAAGCTATTTGGAAAATGAACCGGAAAATGTACCGGAAAATAAATAGGAAACGGACAAGGACAACGAACAGAAAGTCATATTCTGAAATGAGTGGGGAAAATGTACCGGAAAATGAATAGGAAACGGACGAGGACAACAAACAAAAAGTCATATTCTGAAAAGAGTGGGGAAAATGTACCGGAAAATAAATAGGAAACGGACGAGGACAATGAACAAAAAGTCATATTCAGAAATGAATGGGGAAAATGTACCGGAAAATAAAAAGGAAACGGACGAGGACAACGAACAAAAAGTCATATTCTGAAATGAATGGGGAAAATGCACCGGAAAATAAATAGGAAACGGACGAGGACAACGAACAAAAAGTCATATTCTGAAATGAGTGGGAAGATATGGGGGACATTGCACACTAAAATGAACTGGAAAGAAAGTAGGAATACTGAATGGAAGCTCAAGCAAAATCAGGAGAAATGAACGTGAAACTAATGTTGTGCAGCCGGTCGGGTTGACCGTGCCAAACCAACCTGAAACATTGTAGATATAAACCGACTCGAAACCGATCTGATCTCCCCAAATCAGACCCGACCTGACCAACAAAATCAAGCAAAAACCGACCTGAACCGACCCGAAATGGAACCGCCCCGAAAACCCCCCAAATATCTGGCTTGGGCAACTGTGTGTGCTTTTCATGCCTGAACTTTAATATCGCGTCACATGAAAAGAATCATACCGTAGGATAAGGTGACTTTACCTACTGGTGATTCCACACGTTATGCCTTACAGACCGTAAACTACATGCACATTCGCGCGTAGGGTTGATGATGGTCGCACCGGGCACATAGTAAGTCTGCCATAATATTGCACCGCGTGAATTTCCAAACTGTTTCGGTTTATTTCTGTTTATTTCAGGTTTTTCACAAAATGGCATAACCGACCCGGCCAGAAAATCGCAAACGCAAAACTGAAACCAACTCGACCCGACTGAAATCATGCAGAGTGTTTATAATAATAACAGGTTCTTATACAGCGCTTTTAACTACGATCAAAGCGTTTTACATTATTATTACCCCTGATCGTTGGGCACATGAAAAATTCCAAATACCATCTCAGCTCCCTGGGGAGTATACAGCTCGATGCAGCCTGTTAGGCACAAGGAAGCTAATTCAATCACAATAACCATCTCTGCCCTCTCAGGTACCCATTTACTCCTGGGTGGAGAGAAGCAATGAGTGACAAAGTGCCTTGCCCAAGGGCACACGCAACATGACCCCCGGCTGGACTCGAACCCACAACCTGCAGCTTTACCCGCAGACCACGAATCCAATGGCCTTAACCACGAGGCCACAGCACTCCACATTTAAATAGTGTCACATGACTTACTTGAATCGTTCAGGCATAAATCGTTGAACGTTCGCCCGCTTGGCTCGTGACCCACGAATCGGTGGACGTGGTCTGAACCGTGTCGGGTCAGCACTTCGGCGTAGATCGGCGCTTTGCTGCAGGACTGGAGGGAGAAGGGGACCGCGGTGTCACCCACGGAATGCCGCTGACCGTCGATAGTGCAGAGGGAAATCCCCCAATGGTCAGGGTTCTGGCGGGCTAGTTGGGGAATGTACGTTGCCAGCTGGGAACATAAGTCAAATCACAAGTCAATCACAAGTCAATCTCAAGCCAATCACAAGTCAATCACAAGTCAATCTCAAGTCAATCACAAGTCAATCACAAGCCAATCACAATCGCAAGCCACTCACAGGTCAATCACAAGTCAATCACAAGTCAATCACAAGTCAATCACAAGTCAATCACAGGTCAAACACAAGTCAATCACAAGTCAATCACAAGTCAATCCCAAGCCAATCACAAGTTGTCACAAGCCAATCATAAGTCAATCTCAAGCCAATCACAAGTCAATCTCAAGCCAATCACAAGTCAATCATAATCCAAATCACAAATTAATCACAAGTCAATCGCAAGCCAATCACAAGTCAATCACAAGTCAATCCCAAGCCAATCACAAGTCAATCACAAGTCAATCACAAGCCAATCACAAGTCAATCCCAAGCCAATCACAAGTCGTCACAAGTCAATCACAAGCCAATCGCAAGCCATCACAAGCCAATCACAAGTCAATCACAAGTCAATCTCAAGCCAATCACAAGTCAATCTCAAGCCAATCACAAGTCAATCCTAATTCAAATCACAAGTCATCACAAGTCAATCACAAGTCAATCGCAAGTCAAACACAAGTAAAATCACAAGTCAATCATAATTCAAATCACAAGCCAGTCATAAGTCAATCACATGTCAAGTCATAAGTCAATCACATGTCAAATCACAAGTCAATCACAAGTCAATTAGATCCAACACAAGTCAATCACAAGTCAATCACAAGTCAATCTTAAGCCAATCACAAGTCAATCACAAGTCAATTAGATCCAATCACAAGCCAATCGCAAGTCATCACAAGCCAATCGCAAGCCAATCACAAGCCAATCACAAGTCAACCTATAACCTCACCTCTCCACCCGTGTTCATCTTGATCTCTTCGTACAGTTTGTCCACTTGAGCAGCGAAAAGGGGGAAGTCAGGCAGAATAAACATGTTGCGTAGAGCGCGACCGATCAGGACAATATTTGACGATATACATCTGAATACAACCAAGAAAAGAAAAAAGTATAAATGTATAATCGGTTATCCAAAAACTCCTCTTTGTTTCAGTGCAGATAGGTTTGGTGAAATGAAAATGAGCAACTTTGTGCAGAAAATATTCTTTACGCAAAGATCAAGCCCAACCAAGCCAGAAAACTTGGCTTTTTCTCCAGCTTTGACTCCAAGTCAAATTTTCTTTCCTGAAGTAGAGCATGCACAGTCACCAGGGGCCTAAAATCCCTCGAAGCCAAAGCTGGGAGATAAGGCGAAGTTTCAGACACCTCTGTGTGGGAAAGTCTTTTATGATTTCTCACTCTTGGAAGTCCAACTTGTCCAGCAGCGTGTCGCCGATGTTGTCTGGATACTGCTGGGTGAATTTCTCCTTGATCTTCTCCAGAGATTCCTGAAGGCGGGGATCCGTCTGCCTCAGCCCCTTGGAAGCTAAAACCTGAAAGAAAAAAGAATAATAATATCTGCATTTCAAATTTATTTGATTTATAATTAAATTGATTTTCATTTTTTTGACAGAGCTGCTAAGCATGCTGCTTAGCATATTTATGTGCTAAGCGAAATTCAACTGGTAACCAGATAAATGCAATGTGTTTTGTGTTACCTCTTTGGCTGGTAACCTGTTCTTGCTAAGCAATTATATTCTGTGCTTACTGCTTAGTGAAAAAGGACCCTATACATTGTTACAAAAAGACAATTTTTTTTTGTTTTTTGCTTCTCCATACTTACTGAGAAGAAGTCTCTCAGAGCGACCTTCTTCTTGGAATTGCTCAGGATACGGAACACAAGATCCTCCAAGCTCACAAGACTTTCCAACAAATAAACAAATAAACAACACACAAGTATTAAATAAAGCCCAATTAGGCCTATTTATGTTTAAAAACTTCCAAAATAATAAAGATTTATTGTGGTGAGTCCTACAATTTGATTTTTTAAGAACCCCACCCCCCCTCCCAAATAAAAAGGAATAGGGATTTCCATTGTAAATTACTACTAACACAGTTTTCAAAAATATAAAAACCAACAAAATGACAGCTAAATTTGTGAAATTGCTACATTCATGTTTTTATTTTCATATTACAAAAAAACATGCACACAAAATATTGTTTTGAAAAGAATGTTGCATCCTGACATCACTTTTTTCATCGTATGTTATCCTCTTATTAATTTTATAATACCTACATGACGAAAGACAGTCATTGAAAAATGTTGCAAAGACATGAACATGATCATTCATCATGATAAAAGATTTCACATTTTGTTAGAAAATTGACTTTTTTGTACAAACACACCAACCAAAGAAGTGGCGCCTGGACACTACATAATTCTTTCCATCTTTTTGTTTACCCGTCATCTTTTCTTTCTGGCACCATGTCTTGACTCTTTTCTTCATGATCAGTCCTACGGCACTGTGACGAACACGGAGTCGTGTGAACCCACCTCAGAGGACCGGGTAGCCCGGCCATCCGGCGCGTTTCCGGGCGAGGCTGTTTCGTGGTCCCCGGTAAAATATTGCGATTTCCGAGAGAAAATCGACTCGACATACCGGGCAATTTCTGGCCATCTGCTAAAAATCGGCCGCCAAAAATGGCAGCCAATTGCGGCGAGAACCTTGCCATGGTTCTACAGGCACTTATGTAAGCGATCAGTTATATCGAACTCACAAATTGTTCATTTGTTTTTAATTTTATACGTAGATAATCACGCACTCGACCGGAACAAAATCTTTCCACCATTAATGTCGCAGAGCGCCACCAAGTGATTTGATGGTTAGTTTCGTCTGGTGCCACGAATTTCCTCGATTTACCTGTAATTTTTCACAAGTTCAGCCATAACCGGCATGTGTGGAAATGGGAACCACACCTTCTAGACGTCGTGTTTTTGCCACGCGGCAAAACTAATTGGTTGCATGTGTTGCATCATCACAACTTGCAGGCGGGGCCACGTAAATAAACAGCTGGAACTCAGCGAAAGTGCGAAGTGAATGATGCGGAACAGCTAGTAAGTAGGTATTAAAGTTTACAATCAATATTCGAGCTGAAAGGGTTGTGTTTTATCTCGGAAAGAATGTAGAATCCTGATGTGATGCCGCTTCTGTGTTGTGGTTGTCACAATCACAATGGTTGTGTTGTGTACAATTTCTATTTAGCGCCCTACCCTAGGCATGGTCATGGAGGAATGGCCTAGGCTTAATGACATGAATGAGACTTGAGAGACATTTTCAAGTAAGGATAGCGCTAGGTATAACTAACATTAAATTGGAAACGTTTCTCAGTCCCAGATTCACGTCTTTTCAACATTTTTGCAATGACTGACTCACTGAGCTTAATTGAAACGAAGTGGCTATCGTTACGGCACTCGTTGTTTAGCGCCCTCTACGATATTTTTTTGATACGCACGCAGGTATATAATTATTTGTTTCCCCACGTTTTATCGAGCAGTGCGCCAGCTCAGCCGACAGAGGGTAGGATTTTGCACCGCGAGGTTGCGGGTTCGAACCTCAGTTTTGCACTCGAATTTTTTTCCTTTTCTAACCTGAGGCTTTGGAGGATTTTTTTTAAAAGGGAAATAAAGTCCGAATTTCATAAAGTTCAAATTCACTTTTTTCCTTCTAATTTTATATTTTCTTGTCATGTTTTTTTATAAAAGTTGCCAGGTTGCAGTCTACCGTAACGATAGAAAATGGGAAATGCGTTACGGCTGCCGTAACAATAGCCACTGCGTAATTGAAATAGGCCTAATCATGCTAATGTAATGGAAAAACGCAGTGGCTATTGTTACGGCAGCCGTAACGCATTTCCCATTTTCTATCGTTACGGTAGACTGCAACTTTTATGAAAACATGAGAAGAAAATATAAAATTAGAAGGAAAAAAGTGAATTGGAACGTTATGAAATTCGGACTTTATTTCCCTTTTAAAAAAAATCCTCCAAAGCCTCAGGTTAGAAAAGGAAAAAAATTCGAGTGCAAAACTGAGATGCGAACCCGCAACCTCGCAGTGCAAAATCCTATCCTCTATCGACTGAGCTGTCGCACTGCTCGCTAAAACGTGGGGAAACAAATAATTATATACCTGCGTGCGTATCAAAAAAGTATCGTAGAGGGCGCTAAACAACGGCTGCCGTAACGATAGCCACTTCGTTTCTATTTAGCCTGGGCTATATGTGTCGAGCACAATTTGAGTCCCCCACGCAAGTTTAAACTTGCGCGCGCAAGTTTAAACCTGCGCGCACGCAAGTTTAAACTTGCGCGTGCATTAATTTCCTTGCTACAAATTGCGCACGCAAGTTTAAACTTGCGCACTACATAGATTTTCCCCATGCATGCAAAGCCGCTAAAAAAATTGGTGTTTTTCTGGGTAAACTCATACGTAACATCATTTTTAAAGCAGATTTTCTCCAATTAATTTCACCTCTGTGCTTCGTGAGACAATGCCTTAATGCCTTTTTTGAAACATTTTATTATTTTAACAGTATTATGCTAATGAAGTTGACTGTTGTGCATGTGAAGTTCGTTCAGAGATAATTAAGGGGTGGTAATGCAAACAATATTTATGCACTTTGCAATCATATTGTTTACGGCTCATTATGATTTTTGTTTAATTAAAAAACATATTTATTTATTTAGTCGAATTAATAAATTAAATTAATGAATAAAATTAATTAATTAAAGCATTAATAAATTTATTTACTTTTTCAAATAATTACCATTTTATATCATAGCGTTTTTAAGTTGAAGCATGTAAACATTAATGTGAATTATTGAGCCTGCAAATATAATAATTGTGAAAGTAATAAATTTAATTAATTAATTAAATAAGTAATGCGTTCAGTAATTTTTCTTCTTCAAATTATGCATTTTTGAAGTGTACACAGTGCTCGAAATGTTACGCAAGTATTTTTAAAATTTGTATCTCAGGTGGCGTAACTAGTATATTTTGTGGCCATTTTGAGGGAGAAATCTGATGTTGTTGGGTCGTTTCTATTGTGTCACACGATAGCGGCCATGCGGCTTGGTCCGTACTATCGTCAGACCATGTCCCAATGTTAAAAAAAATGCGACAAGTAGGGTCCAAGTTACTCAAACTAGGTTAACGATAAAATCAAAATCTGCATCTGACACCTGTGACCTAGATACGAACAGTACACTCCACTGTTGTAATGAACGGCACAGCTGCTGTCAGACAAATGTCAAAGTAAATTAGTTTTTAAGCCTCTATCACATAAATTCAATGCAGAGATATCACATTAATTAAGGTTATTAATATGTTTATTTTTATGTATATTTTATTGTGATCTTTAACGAGGGTGGTCCATTTCAGTTTAAATGTTTCATGTTTTTTTTTCTCAGGAAATTGTTTTTAAAAGAGCATCATACATGAACTGGAATCGTCAGTGCTCAGGTTGTTACCAGATTTTGTAGAGTGCTGACTATGTCCGTTTGGATATCGTCTGGTTCTGTTTTTTTCTGCTGCACAACACAGACGAAGTTCTACCCCAAAATACCGATTATACCAAGGTAATTTACTTTATAGTCTTATTGGTTCGCCTGTAGATCATTTATTAGCTGAAGTGAGAAATAAATTCTAGAAGAGTGATTTGCCAATCCTCCATTGGAAATTTGTTTGCAGTGTTGGATCCATGGCCATTTTCAAAAGCTTGGCTGTTTCCCAGCTTTGGCTACATCATTGTATAGATATTATTATAAACCTGTGTACATATACTTATACATGTACTTCTGTTGTGTGCAATCGGTCGATCTGCGATCGGTCAAGAGCGCAGAAGTGCTTTGCGCGATGGGTCAATTCCGTAGGACATCTCGGACTTTACTTACCTTTTGTTTAAAAAAAATCCTCCAGAGCCGTGAATAAGAAATAAAAAGAGTTCAACTGGTGCCTCACGATTGACCGATAGTGTCATGATCGACCAATAGCACAGCGCAATCGACCAATCGGGAAACATTGAATGATCGTGCCTAACGCTTCCTTTCTCTTGCAGTTTCACAGTGACTTCTGAGTCGCTTTTGTCAGCATGTCTTCCATTGGGTTCCTGGGTGCGGGAAAAGTCGTCGAGACCATCGTAAGGGGTCTGCTCTTGGCAGGTGAGTAAATGACGAGTCTCAAAAAACGACGAGTCTCAAAACAAAAATAGTATCTCGTCTGGGCTTTTTTTTTAAATGAAGGAGGCAGCCCTTTTTTTTTCCAAGATGGCTGGTTTTCCAAGATGGCGAATAGATTTCATTTTGTTGACTCATTTGCTGATACAGAATTTTGTCCAAAGGAGTTGTCACCCTTTCCACATTTCAACAATTTTGTTGGAAACAAATAAAAAGACAATACATTGACAACATTAGCAAATATATTGCTAGTTTACGTATTTTTTAAAAAAAGGAGGGGGCTGGAAAAAAAGGAAGCAGGCGGGTACAAGGAACTGGTTTATTTTTTTACTTGGCCTCAAGTGTGTAAGGTTAGGGCACGTACATGTAGCTCACCAGTTTGTGAAAAAGTCCCAAATTTGTGTCTCAAATTCTTGTCTCATTGGAAGCCCCAATTGATGCTTCCCAAGAAACTTAGTAAAACTTTTCTTTCTTTTGTCTTCCAATGTAGAGGCCTTACCGGCTTTTCAAATGCAGGCGAGCGCCCCAACGGAGCGAAATCTGAAAATACTACAGGTACTGTGCCATGTGATTTGTTACCGTTCTTGTAAATGAGGGAGATTCTATTAAAAAATGGGAAAAAAAGAAAAACAAGGACAACAATTTGAATGTTCCTCAAGTTGAAGTAATAGCAACTTTTCTGTGGTCTACCTCTCACCAAGTCCAAAAGCAATTTTAAAAATCGTGTTGAAATGTGTTTATTTTTAAAAGTATTATTTTTGTCCCTTCACCCATTTTTAGTAAGTTGCATATGTGCATGTGTATGCGGTAGCAGTTTTTCAACAGGTCGATAATTTTTGATAGACTGGTAAAGAATTTTTGCCAAAAGTAAAACACAAGCTGGATTTTGTCCAACCTTCCAACTGCTCTGTATGCTTCTTACTGACGATGTCGCCTCGGTTGCCAGGAGCTGGGCGTTCAAGGCACCAATAACAACAAGGAAATCATCGCCAATCACCAGACGGTCTTCGTCTCGGTCAAACCCAACATGGTCAGCACTGTCTTGAAGGAAATCTCGCCGGTCGTCACCCCCAATCACATGCTGGTCTCACTCGCGGCTGGCATATCGGTCGGGTTCATCGAAAGTGTAAGATTGCTATGGCAAAAAAAAAGTCTCCGGTTTCTGGTATGCGCGCGTGTCGCCGTAGCCATGCGCGTCGGCAAAATGAAAAAGTTTTTTTCAATACAAGATGATGTCTCAAAACCGCCAAACTCACTGGTTTGACTGGAATCCTGCTGCTGCACAATTTTAACGTGTTTTTAGATTGGGTTATGGTCGAGAATAAGCTTTATGTGGCCTCTCTGGACTCCCATATATTTGCACTAAGTTTAGTCGGGCACCATTTGCAGTCATCAGCCGACATTTGAAGCCAAAAAAAAAAAAAACAGGGAAAAAAAAAAAAAGCCGCGTCGCCGCACCACTTTTGAGGCAAGCTCCATACCAGAAACCGGAGACTTTTTTTTTTTGGCCTATTAAAGATTGGACCAAAAAATTGACTGGCGCGGGGTTCGAACCTGGGAGCTCCGGAGCATCGTTCCGGTGCTCTACCTACTGAGCTATCCAGTTCTGTGTCGGCGGTTTAACAGTTCATCAATTTCTTTGTTCAAAGGGTGCTATTAACCAGTTCGCGCCAGGATTATTTTGACATTGACCGGACCCAGGTGGGGATTGTTTTTCACAAACCTCGATGCCAGACAGGTTCAGGCCGTCATCTGCAGGTAGCACACCCTGATATTTCCGGCCTCGGGTCGCTGACAGATATTTCCAACCTCGCTCGTTGCGTGTTTATCCGTCATCCGTTCCGAATACCGCAAAACCTTTGCGTGTATACACCTCATCCGACGTGACCTGGTTAAGAACTCTTGAACAAAGATATTGACTGGGTGGGAAACCGCCAACATAGAGCCGGATAGCTCAGTTGGTAGAGCATTGGAACGGCAATCCGGAGGTCGCAGGTTCAAACCCCGCTCCAGTCAATTACTTTGTTTAACCACACGACAGTATAATTATATGCACCTAGTCAGTTTCCCATTGTGATTTACTTGATGAAAGTGTAAGTTGACATTTTGAGACCTTTGTAAATAATGAGTTGACCTTTGCAAAACTGAATTATTTGTTCTGCTTTAAATCCTTTCGCAGATTACATGAAGGTTTTGCTGTGTAACACATGACTTGCTAAATGTCAGCACCTTTTTCCAATAATCACTTTCTTTTAGGAAATTAGGCTTAGAGAGAATTTAAATTTTAGATTATTTTTTTTGTTCTATTATCAGACCTATTGAGTATGAAACTTTGTCTAACTTGAAAAGAATGACTTGCAAATTGTCAAAGAAAGTAAAAAGAAAACTTAATTAACACTTTTCAAACATCCAGACCTTTTTAGTCAAAATGAACACTCACATATTTATTTAGGAAGCGCAAACTCTTGACGCTTACGAATATTAATGTCTTTCAACAAGATGTTTTTATGTATAAATTTGCAAACCACCACCTACCTGCATACATGATAATAATACTAGGTCCTCGTCCAATTTGCATATACCCTTAGAACAACTCTTTCTTGACATACCATTTCTTTCTCTGGACCAAAAACCTGGAACTACCTTTCACCGTCTTTAACTAATTGCCCTTCAAGTAATACTTTCAAATATAAACTAAAAACTTAAGAACTTAATTCTCAGAGTGCCTGTCATTATTACGTTAAGTTAATTTAGCCGTTTATTGAAATGTTGTTTATTGTCGTGTCTGCTTTGTTTATCTGCTTTGTTTTACTGTTACATATTTAAATGTTATTATTTGTAAATTTTATAATTAGTGTTGTTTGTATTGTTTTGTCTTGTATTGTTGGGCACATCCACCACAAGCTTTGGCTTTTTGGGATCATACCTCCACAGAGTGGAAATGAATGCTTATTGAATTGAAAATCTCTGTATTTTCCATAACAAATTTTTAAAAATGTCCATGAATTTTTGTTTTCCTACAGAAACTTCCGGTGGGAACCCGCGTCATCCGGGCCATGCCCAACACTCCGTGCGGGATCGGGCAAGGCGCGACCATGTACACATCGGGAAGCGCCGTCAAACCCGAAGACAAGGCTTTGATTGAGAAATACTTCAACAGTCTTGGCTACTGCATGGAAGGGGACGAAACAATGATAGACGCTGTGATGGCCGTGAGTGGCAGTGGTCCTGCTTATGTAAGTCCAAAAAAGTAAAATTAAAGTCCGTCCCGAGGCCAATATGTGACACTTGTGGGCAGAGGTTGTAATTGAGATAGGGCCAAAAAAAGCTGTGGGGGTGATTTTTTTTTCTTCGATTTTCAAATTTTTGCATATTTGTAATCCTGAACATGTCTAAAATTTACTATAAAAGTTTGAAACCCTAATTTGAACTCTAAATATAGTATTTTTGATGATTTGTTAAGGTATATCAGTTAAGAAATTACTGTTTTGTGACGTTCGTGGCCATTTTCTCTGTTTTTTACTTTTCCACACAATGAACTTCAAAATAGCATAACTCTGCCCAGGAATGACCGGTTTCAAAAATTAAACCACCTATTAAAAGGAAAAAGAACATATTTTAACAATATGCAAAATAATCTCATTTTTGCCCAGAAAAGTCTGATTTTGACAGAACAGGTTTAACATGTGGCTCATCATGCCGGTTTTCATTTTCAATTTTCTCATCCTAAATGCCAGGGAATATTTTCTAGTGCCCCTGGATGGGATGCTAGTCCATTGCAGGTTACTCCCCAGCTAATGCCGCTACCAATTTATACTAGTGCAAAGAGACAATTGGGGTAAAGTGGTTTGCCCAAGGACACAGCATATGGCCAGCAGCTGGATTCGAACCCCTGACCATCTGATCATGAGTGTCAAAACTCTAACCACTAGACCACACACTTTAAAAGCCGAAATAGCTATTTTCAAATTCAAAGCAGTTTAAATATTGTTACCCCCGTCATGATTATAGTTATTTCTGGATCCCTGCAATTGCAAAACACTTTTAACTTAATCCGTCACTGAGATTTTGAGTGCAACAAATAAAATGCCGGGGCCCAATTCTTAAAGCAGCTAAGTAGAAAAAAATTATTCTAAGCAAAAGTTGGCCGTTGACCAGCCAAAAGCAGCATCCATCGCATGGCATTGTGGCTGGTATCCTGTTTTTACTAAGTTTTTGTTGAACTGTGCTCACCAAATTTCGGCTGTGGGTAATACTGCAACTTAAAGCTACAGTCCATCATTTGCAGCTATCCAAAAAGTAACTGACGTAATTGTTGTTGAAAAAGATATTTTGTTGAAAGATAGTAAGGGGACTAAACTCCCTGAGAAATTATTCTTTCTGGCAAGCTACCATTTTGAAGAAAGAAGGCCTACACAACGTTGGAAAATTCCTGTTAGTATTTCTTTTTCTACTCGGCGGGGCGCGCGGAAATGTTGACACGACGCGCATGCGGTTGCTATAATTCGTCGGATTGGTGCGCGACATCGCGTAGCTGCAATCGGCGCAGTGAGAACGTGTCTCGGACGCTGAATTCAGGCCCAATTCAAAGCATGATTCAGCAACTTTTGATTTGAAATTGAGATCCCGGAATGTTGTTTTTCTTGGAATATACAGCTGAAGCTGAGCTGAGCTGAAATTTCATCAGGTTAGTTGTTCAGCACCCTTCTTTAGATTTTGAGCACGTTTGTTGCTTCAAACGAACAAAATGCACAAATTACAAATGATGGACTATACCTTTAAAAGACTTCAGTTCTCATTTGTCACTGTTGAAATTCTAGTTTCACATGTGTCAGTGGATAATTTATTCATTATTTGTGACTTTGCAGGCTTATATTGCAATTGACGCATTGGCAGATGGCGGAGTGAAAATGGGTCTGCCTCGGGATATAGCCATCAAGTTGGCTGCACAGACGTTACTGGTGAGAACTTACAAGAATTTGTATATTTTTGTTTTGGTCCTTGTTTCAATTATTTTCATAAATTTTGCAATAATGATTATCGGGCAGAATACCACTATGTATTTATGATGTACATGTGTATTATTCTAGAAGAAATGCAACGGACTTTTACTCAGCAATTTCATGATAATACATGCAACCTTTTGATTTAATATTTTTAAAAAATGATGTTAACAGAAGCTCATTAGTCTAACCATTGGCTTTTACTAGTTCAGGTAAATTTGCTTTTGAATTGATATATGTGGCCTGTCACTGGTAAAAAGTCATTTTGTTTTGTATCAACACTTTTCATCACAGATGAAAATATAATGACCAGCATGTGAGTACAGCATGCAGGGCCCTTTTCTTGTTGGGGTAAACTGAGCATGGGTAATTTGAGCATGGGATGTTTTCAGACTGAGGTCTTATTTCTGCAGTTTTATGTTTGAGGGTGAATCTCATCCCAAGGGTAATTTCAGCATGAGAAATTTCAGCACAGATAACCTGAGCACGGGTTGTCGTAGCAAAGGGAAATCTCAGCACAGGTGCTGCACTGGGCAATCTCAGCACAGGCAGATGTCAGTTTCAGAATGATCAAAGACTAGGAATTAGTAGTGTCAATATAGAAAACCTAGATTGGGAAAACTCAGCACAGAAGATTTCCATTGGTGGTAATCCCAGCATGAAATAAAAACCTGGGTATTAATTTCAATCTGGAAAATCTTTTATCGTGCCATGGGAAATATTCTGTTTAGTTTCCGAGAATTGTTTTTGTTTACTTTTTGGTAAATGCAGCAAATCTGACTTCAAAATCCTCTCAAATTTCTGAAAACAGGCCCCTTAAAACATTCATTAGCTAAAATTTTCTTTAAAATTACATTAAGTTTTAACCATTTGGTGTCGGGGGCCGTGTTAATACGCACTGGCTGTTTATATACACAGGCATGGCTGACGGATGAAACATCAAGCGTGCCTCGACTCGCCTCCGGGTGACGTCTAAACACGCTAATCCCTCGTGTCTTTTGTACACACACAAAGTCCGCAAAGTCTGTGGATGCGGACCGTGTGTTGATCTTGAATTGGCCGCTGTGCAGGGCCTATTGTGCTTCAGTTTACGCTCTGTTGCACACCCGGGAGTGTTGAAAAGTATGAGGTTTCGGCAAGAAATATATTTCAAATACTGTTTAAATGATTGTTGTGAATCAGCATTTGTGGCGTTTGGCTGTGTATCAGAAGTTGGCTGGAAAAAATTTTGCCTTTTGCGAAAATGAAAGTTTCCGGCAAAAATAAACCTAGCGCAAAGTGGTTAAGAATTTCCTAGATGGATTTCAAACTCCTGCCTCGTTTGTATCTGAAATGGTTTTTCATTCTAGGGATCGGCGAAACTGGTCTTGCAAGGCCGAAAGCATCCGTCGGAACTCAAAGACGACGTGTGCTCTCCGGGCGGCACGACCATCGACGCCATTCACGAGCTGGAGCGGGGAGGTTTTCGGAAGTGCCTCATCGAAGCCGTGGAGGCGGCGTGCCTTAAAGCCAAGAAACTGAACACTATGAATGCTGAAAATAAATGATGAAACATCCGTATTCCTTAGGAAAATTGCAGAAATGATGGAAAAGCGACCTCAGGATTCAGACAGACTTATTCAGGATTTTCCCATACTTTTCCAAAGATTTTCCGATACCTTCTCAATGATTTTCCAAACATTTCCAAAGCATTTTCCCACACCTTTCCCACATTTTCCCCCAAGGATTTCCTATAAGCTTTCCTAGATTTCTCATACTTTGTTTTCCAATACTTTTTTTTTTTTACTTTTCCCATACAGGATTTGATTTTGTTTTCCCAATGTTTTTCCGTTCTTTTTTGTTTTACTTTTTTTTCTTTTTTTCTTTTTTACTTTTCCCACACTTTTTCCGTAAATGTCCTTTTCAAGACTTCCTATACTTTTCATGACTTTTCCTATACTTTTCCTGACTTTTCCTATACTTTCCCACACCTTTCTCAAACATAGCTTTTTTTTCAAGACTTTCTAATACTTTTCAAACACTTGACTTTTTCCGATAGGTTTTCCTTGGTCAATTAAAAGAGCTTTCCGTGAATTTTTTAAATGCTGCATTGGACATTTCCAGGGGAAAATATAATTCCGGAACTTTTTAAGAAAATTTTGTGTATAATGGGATATTATCAGACATATTCTCCTTTGAACTGCAAAATATTAATTTTGTATTTTTCAGACATGTTTTGAAATATAGGGTGGATGGCCTTCTCAAACTTGCCTTATATGACTAAATTGTATCTTTTTGAAATAAAGATCATGTAACATTGAAATTAAAGCCGCCAGTAAGACTGATAGAGTTTATGTATTTAAATACAAGTACATGTCGTCCTTTTATTTGTGTTATGAAAACCTTACCACAGTCATTGGGCAGATATGGTTGGAAAACGATCACGGTGTTCCAATTTTTCGACACTGTTAAAGGGAATGTACAACATTTGCTTTTGCTGCAATTTTCAGAAAAAAATGGATTTGGAGGATTAGTATGTTATAGCAAATATTGTTAAAATCACTTGTTTCACGTTTTGGGCTTGTGTATAGATGCAGGAAAACCAAGAAAACCAATCATGTTCTTCTAGTCTGGTTCCCTGACCCCACTTTTAAGATTAAACGGAGAAATGTAAAGACTTTGCGGAATTGTAAGGTCAAAGAATCACTCTAGCAGGCTTGTACCCCCTTCACAGGTGTGTAATCAATTGCAAAGAAAGTGCGGAATAACTGAATATGAAAAAGTAGGAGCAGTTTTTGAAAAAAAGCTAGTTTTCTCCAACGCTGGTTGGCCGACCAGCATTGGAAAAAATACAATTTTTCTCGAAAATGTCAGCACACCAGGAGCCACGATTTTACAAGATGCTTTAGACTGTCATTCCCTAACAATCCAGTAAGGTATTTCGTGAAAAATGTGATCATTTCGTATTGTGATGTTTGCAAATGTTGTATCTTCCCTTTAAACTATTTGCTGGGATGCCGTTGTTAAATATAAAATATCAGGTATTTTCTTCCAGTGTGCTTTTTAGTTAATATGGGCTTGTTAACAACAACCCATGTATTTTTACATAGAGTCATTTTGGAGGATTTTGCAGGATTAAGGTTACAAACTACAAAAATGTCTAGGAAGTTAGGGTTGAACACAAGAATCACATGAAATAGAACAAAGGAAATTTAAAAAAAGATTACATTTTCACTTTATTTCTGAAAGAATCAAATTAATTATAATTGTTGGATCATTCAAAGTATACAAAATCAACCAAGTTTACCAATGTTTAATAAATGTACATATACAAAGGTTTTATTAATTCAAAACAACATTTTTTTGTGGTTTTAATCAAAATCAATAATGTACCACAGACATGCCTGCTGTAAAATTGATATTGCAAACCAAATTTATTGATTAATTTATGCGTGGATTTTTACCATAATATTTTCTGTTGCCCATTGCATTTACTTTTGTTTCGGTTTTTTTTTGTTGTTTTTTAATACTGTAAGGCTGTTTTCAGGTGTCATATTATTTTTGAGTTGCTAAAATAGGATATGTAAATAAAAAAGCTAAAGCATTGTGTTGCTGAACTGGGCATTATGGGGCTTAAACAAATGTTTATTGCTTTTTGGTGGAAATAACGCCTACAAGGATGCATAATTTTAAAATAAAACAAATTTACAGAAAAAATGTTCCTCCATTTTTTTCTCATTTCAATTTTGTTTTAATAAAACCCATTAAAGTTAACCTCTGAAAGTACCCAAAAAATCACAAACATATTTTTGTGATATACATGTATTCACCTTTAAACCAATGTTATGTAAACATTTTGTTATGCAAATTTTTCAAATTTACAGGTATTGTGTTACTGACAATATTTGTACAACTTTTTTCTAATATACACTCCATTTGTATAAGGTTTGGCTAAGGCACTATGTGCTTGATATTTTCAAAAGAATTTTTATTAATTTCAATTTCACAATCAAGTTATTTAAAATAAAAGAAATATTGCGCATCAAACCTGATCACTATCATAATGGCAAAAAGTCAAAATAAAGTTGCTATATTTTCTCCTCGTACCCCTTAGCTGATGATCAGTGTACACGATTTAAAAGGAAACACACAGCATTATGGGTAATCATGATCAATGCACATACACTATAAATATGCCACACACAAGAGTTGAACACAGGTTACCGGTGAAACAAAATCTGTCCAATGACAGCTCAAGGAAATTAACCATCACAATGCCCACACATTAGGTGGTGGGTACCAGTGAACCTTTAACTTGTCTTTGTTGCTACACAACAGTGCCCTCAGTTGTTCACACTTGGAGAATTGAGAGTTCCACTGATGTGAAAACCAGGGGCAAGTTTTGGTGCTGTGACCGTAAACATGTTTCTGGTTCGCGGCCGTTTCGGCGCTTCGGTTACACTGAAATGACGCCATTGTTTCGACCAACAACTTATGTTTCAAGATGGCGGAAAGGTGAACAAGCTTAGCAGACAATGTTACTTTTTACCATAAATGGGGTTTAAATAGTGGGTTTTTACCTTCAATTTGTACGAAAGTTGATACAGAATATGAGGCCTACTCTTTTTAGAACTTTAGGGAAACGCTATAAAAAAAACTCCCACTTTTGCTTTGAATGTTAATGTTAATCATGTCCAGTCGCCGCGTGATTTTTTTTGGGTTGTGTGCAGTCACGTAGGCAGTAACATGACGTCATGAACAATTTTCCGGTCAGTCGTTTTCGCGGTGCACAGGAAACATGTTTCAGGTCACGGCTGTGACGTCAGAAACATGTTCCAGTTCAAGGGCCGCCAAAACGTGCTCCAGTCCTCGGGCTGTGTTGCTAGGCAACAGCGCCCTCTGTTGATCACACAGAGAAATAAGGAGGCAGTCTGATTCCCAAACCAAAAGATTCTGACTATTTCAGATGTAGAATTGTCAGGTCAGGGAACCAGACTATTAAAATGGTACACAAATAAATTTTTTTCCCATAATTATACGGCAAATTTTTATCGAACTCCCCTGTGAATCTTGACCTTTCCTTCCTCATTCCATTTCTCAAGAATAGTCTCTTCCACCGAGTGTTTGTGAGGCGAAAGGAAGAACTTATAAATTAAGTTCCAGGGTCCTGCGTCCGGTTCCCAGTAGTGGTCCCACGCACCGTAGGACGAGGCGCCAAAACCAAATATGTTCACCTGCAAATGATGAAGTTGGATTGTGAAAATTTCTTTAAAAGATAAAACGGTCCTCTGTAGTAGGTTTGTGTGCTTAGTCTATGGAAGAGTGCTATACTACAGGGACAAAGCATTGTCCTCGAGAGTATGGTAAAACAAGAGTGTGTGGCCTTTGACTCACCTCATCGCAAATGTGGAAAGCAAACAGAATCATAAGAAACCCCGTTGACGGCCATCGCTCCTCCGACCCTATCCAGCTGAATTTACCCTGGAACATCAACGCTGGGTTGTAGATCTGGATCTGAAAAAAAATGCATTCCAAAAAAACTCAATTTTTTTCACAGTAATTGAAGACGTATGCACTACTAAGCAGGATTTTTTTTTTTTCTAAAAAGCTAAAGGAAAGTATTGAGCAATGAGTGCCTATGAACTACATGAGAAGCAACCCAACATTGAAATTTCTCATTGTTAATTAAAGGTAATATACAACATCTGCAAAAAACAAAACTACCAAATTATTATGAAATACCTTACTCGACCGTAAGGGAATAGTCCAAAGCATCCTGTGAAATTATGGCACCTGGTGTGCTGTCACGTATAGAAAAGGGGAATTTTTGTATCAATTTCCAATAATGGTCAGCCGACCATCGTTGAAAAAAAGGACCTTTTTCAAATACTGCCCCAATTTACCAAATTTGGTTAAATCCACATTTTGTTTGTAATTGGTCACACATCTGTGAACGGGTGCAAGCCAGCTAGTCTTGTCTCCTGACCGACCATTCCCCAACGTCTATAAATCTCTCCATTTTGTCTAAAGAAGCATCAGGGAACCAGACTACAAGAACAACATTTTTTTCTTGGTTTTTCAGCGTCTATGAACACAAAACTTTAAACCGGCCAGTGTAACAATATTTGCTATAAAATACTGACCCCCAAATCCATCCGTTTCTGAAAATTACCGCAAAAGCAAATGTTATATATTACATTTAAGCCCGGACCATTTGCAATGGGGACCAATTTTACAAAGCACACCAAGAGTACTGAATTATATATGCTCACCTTTGACCTTTCAGCTTCAATAAAGCGTGGCACTGGGGAGTAGGTCCTTAAAAAAAAAAACCCAACAATTAAAAAGTGGAAAGATGTATAATTTAACTGTTTTTAGATAAGTCTAGCGAACTGTGTAAAAAGGTTTGTTGCCAACTTTTACTACCAATCCAAAACACTATACAAAGTTGTTCCTGTTTTTTTTTTTTAAACAGTTCAGTTTTTCTTCAGAATACAGGTTATCAATGCACAAAATTAACAGCAACAACCGAAGACAAAATACACCAGTGTCCAACCTAGGCATTGTGGAAATCAAATGTTCAACATCCTTTTTTTTATTCTCAAAACTATTTCCACTAACATTTCAGAGTTGTGCTAACACTAGGTATGTCTTTACGAATGTGGTTCGGGGGGGGGGGGGGGGGGGCAATGACTTTCTTAGAGTAGGGGGGGAGGTAACATTGGGGGGAAAAAGGTAATACTGACCACTTGATAGTTCCATTTGTCAAAGCGCTAATCAGCCAGTCGATATCTTTGGCTCCGAACGGCACTAGGACAAAATGGGCTCCCTTCTGTACCTCGGTATAGGTGACCGGGTAGGCTAGACGATGCGTTTCCCTGGTTCCCACATCTTCCTCATAGCCTTTGATGGGTGCGTAGTTGACCCTTCAATGAGGACAATAAATACATCTCTTCATCCTGAATTACTTGGTATTTTTGCTAGGAATCTTCCTGGATCCTTCAAAATCCTCCACTTTGTAAGAACCCACTGGCACACTCTTTGTACTATCAAGTTTCAAGAGGCAAAGCTCCATGTAAAGTAACACAGGGTGAGTAAAAAAAAACGAGACCCAAATGGCAGGACCAATTTTTGAATAAGTTTTGCCTGTAGAACTTTCAAAATCTAGGATATGAAAGCCCAATCAATGAGCTTTCTTTCAGTACAAGAATCATTCAAATCACTCATGTTCTGTTTAACACAAACACCATTTTAAAGTTCTGTCCACGGATCACAAAAAAAGGTAAGTGCTCTTTCAGCAAAACAAAAAACAAGTCATATGCATCCCTATGAGAATTGTTTTCGTTTTGCTGAAAGAACACTAATTTTTGTGTGATCGGTGAACAGCACTTTAAAACAGTGTTTGTGTGCAAAATTCTGTAACTTGAAAAGTACTTGAGTGATTTGAACGAATCTTGTACTAAAAGAAAGCTTAATGAATGGGTTTGCATATCCTAGATTTTGAAAGTGCTACAGGCAAAACTTCATTCAAAAATTAGTCCTGCCATTTGGGTTTCGTGTTCTTGACTCACCCTGTAGTGGCCAGGTTCTAACTTCCTCAATCCTAAAAAATCCTAGAAAACATTCTGGTGGATTTTTCGGTATTGAGGAATGTACAATCAGAAGAAGGGGGTGTGAACTGTTGTAGATACTTTACCTGATAATTCTGTGATGGGAATCAATGAGTTTTCCATATTTGGAGTTTCTGAGGTTCCCCGAGTTGCCGACCACGGCGCAGCGCACACAGCGTTCAAGGTTCCGCCGCGGGTACGGGTCAGCTTCGGGAATGAGTTTGAAGAGGGATTTCAGAAGCGCTGGGATGTCACGATTGCCATCTTCATGAATCGACTGAGAAAGAAAGTACAAAAACAACTTCACTTTTTAAACCAAAACGAAATATGTAAAAACACTGCATTGAAGTAAAATACTTGTTTGTTTACTGAAATTTTAATTAACAATTCGAGACTTAACTCACCAACCACCAGTCTCGGACTTCTTTAGTCAACTCTCTATTCCGTCCTGTCCAGAGAGGGGGTATGGTCTCATTGTAGCGCTTGTCGAACCAGGGCGACGCCCCTCTCTGCCACGCCCTCTTGCAGGTCTTGGCCCCTCCCAGTAAATCCCCCTCCTCTTCGACCACTTTGAGCGGCTGTAACCGTCTCAGTTCCTCTTGGACATTGTCCCGGTTTGGATGTGGTCGGTCCTCGAAAGTGTTACTGAGGATGATGCCGATTTTTCTCCGGTTCATGTAGACGACCAACACGAGAATGGCCAGGGCGAATGTAGCCAGCGGTCTGTAGTATCTGGCTCTGAAAAATGTCCGTCTGAATGACATACTGATGACATCTGAATGGCATACTGATGACAACATTGATGGCAAAACGTTTAGCGTGGTGTTTGTGACGAACAATGTAGTTGTACGTATGCCAACTCTGTGTACTCCTAGAACTATGAGGCTCCGCGTGAGCGGAGCCTCATAGATGTAGAAGCCCGGAAAATTGTCTGCAGCACAAAACACTAATAAAGTACAAAAACGTCCATCAAAATGCAGACATTTCACACAGAACCGCTGCACAGTTTGCCCCTATTCTCCGTATTTTACCTCTTGACATACTCACGTATCTTGGGCACAACTAACATAGGTGGATTCTGTCGGTTTTTAGGCCAAAATGATGAAAAATATGCCCTTTCCGCACTGAGCCAACCGAACACTTGAAACGTGCACGCATATGATCGAGCGATGATTTTCGGTTCGCTCGGAGCGCGCCGCGGGGGGTACGGTACATGCACTTGTACGCATGCACATACTATCATTTCGCCTTGTACCGTACCCCCCGCGGCGCGCTCCGAGCGAACCAAAAATCATCGCTCGATCATATGCGTGCACGTTTCAAGTGTTCGGTTGGCTCAGTGCGGAAAGGGCATATTTTTCATCATTTTGGCCTAAAAACCGACAGAATCCACTTATGTTAGTTGTGCCCAAGATACGTGAGTATGTCAAGAGGTAAAATACGGAGAATAGGGGCAAACTGTGCAGCGGTTCTGTGTGAAATGTCTGCATTTTGATGGACGTTTTTGTACTTTATTAGTGTTTTGTGCTGCAGACAATTTTCCGGGCTTCTACATCTATGAGGCTCCGCTCACGCGGAGCCTCATAGTTCTAGGAGTAAACTCTGTGTAGACCCGTGAACGTGGCTTGTAAACTACAACGCCACGTTCATGGGTCTAATTATAGCTCTGTGATGATCAGATGATCATGATGATAGCCTACTTTTTTTGATACTTGTCTTTAATCTTTATGTCACATGTATGATTATAGTTATACTATTTATAGCCTACTTAATTAGATGGATCTTTAATGTTCAAAATTACGTACTTTTGGGAATGGAGGAATAAGCATAACTATGCATATGTTGATATTTACATGCAAAATATGCTAGAACACCGCCAACCGTAGTCTAATTGAGATACCCCCATCCTCTCACCGCCCCGCCCCGCCCCTTCCCCCGGCTGACCATTTCTATTTCTCGACAGTCAACTTTCAAGTTGTTCTCTCCTCACCCCAAACCCTGACAAGAAATCGCCGATCCCAGCCTAGGGCTAACATAAAAGTGACTTACCTCATGATTTCTAGATCGATCCACTTACATTATCCTCCCCATACCCACTCGCAAGTCGAAGAAATTGCACTTTGCAGCCGCCGCCGTTGATCGTGTACGTACGGTACAGTAAATGGGCATGGGGTACCGACTATTATGCAGCTCCAGTGTCATAACACCGTTAATCGTCTGGGAGTAATACTTCTTTTATCAACCGGTGAGTCATTCAATATTGTCCCCTTATCATTTTGTTGGTTTGTAGAGTGTTCTAGATAATAGTGTCCGTCGCTAAAATATAATTTGTGACTTGTCATCACCCACTAAAATCTTGTCACCAAAATCTTGAAAACAATATGTGATTATTTTTTTAAAATCACATCGGGGAGAATTCCGTTACTTTCGTATCAGAGTGAAGGTACGGCATATTTTACCTGGAGGGTATTTCTAGAATTAGGTGGTCGGTAAATGGAATACTCATAGGCGTAGCCAGCTGCGAGGGGGGGGGGATTTACCTCCCCCAATTTTGTAAAAAGTGCCCTTTATTTCAACAAGACTGCCCCTTTTTTTCTGAAAAAGTGCCCTTTTTCTGATCAAGTTCTCTTTTTAAATAGAAGTCCGGTGCATTTTATTTTTATTTGGGGCATGTATCGCCCGGAAAGGCAACATATATTGTCCATTAGCGTGCATAATAATCGTCGGTTTTGAACAGTGCCCCCATCGACAGATGGTCCCCCCCCCCCCCCGCATTGTTGCCCCCTCGCCCCAAACCCTGACAAGAAATCGCCGAAAGGCAACATATATTGTCCGTTAGCGTGCATAATAATCGTCGGTTTTGAACAGTGCCCCCATCGACAGATGGTCCCCCCCCCCCCACCACTATTTGATTTTACGGAGGCCAAGTGTCCAGAGAAAAACGTGTCTACATTTCAGCACGGATGTATTAGTTTTTAAAAAAATGTACCCCCAATAAAAATGACCGCACTACGCCCACTGATGCCCCCTACCCCCTTCCCCCACCCCCGGAATAAAAAATCTGCCACGATCGATCGAACGAACTTTTCAAGGTATGGATGGACAATAGTGATATGATAATACCCAGTCTATACAGGCGGTGTAAGTGACCAACATTAAGTTGTCATCAAATAATCAAGGATGTTTTATTCTTCATCTTAACTCTGTACTATTAACAGGAATAGCTTGTGACGCCATTTTTTAATTAGATGACAATATTCTACGCCCATCTTTAAACTTTACTAGACGATTACTGAAACCTCATTTTTCGATTAGTTAAAATAAAGTTAATATATTACATATCATAACTTGTAACTAATATATTTTAATACTGATATGGCAGCAGCAGCTAAAATATCTAAGGTATAGTTATATTTCCAAAAATGATCATTTTTTTATGTGCATTTTAGTTGGTTGGTACCCGTTCTTTTTGGCTGAGTCCTTTCTGGGCAAGGAGCGGACCTCAGTAGTTTGGCCCTGGTCCAAAAGTGACAACAGACCAAACTTTTCGTTTGAAGATCAACTTTAAATATTTTGCGCGGCTGTGTTGCCGACATTTGTACTATTCTCATAACAACTCAACATTTAAGCAGAATATATTTCCTTACTATTTACATATATTAACATAATTATACAGCAAATGGACCTACACGTACAATTTAGTTAACACCAATGCAAGAATATATACTGATACGAATAATCTCATTATTTTTGTAGATTTACTACTTTAGAATAAACAATAATTATACACAGAAGCAAATTATTCCAATTGTAAATTATACATTTGAAACAATATTTTTTTTCTAAGGACTCTGTGAATTAAACAAAGTGTACACGTACGGAATATATTATATTATCCACCAACATCAAATCAGGCGTTATGGCATGCAATTGATCAAGCTTTGATTTGAAAGACGAATGCGAAATGAACTCTGATTTTGAAGTTTTGCACATTCCGATTTAATAGTCTGAGTATCACGTCTGATTATGTCTAGACATGCAGATAATGTGCAAGCCGCACGCCAGCCAATCGGAGCCTTCTTTACTAAATCGTGACGTCATTTCATTCCCAAATCAGGACTAAATGGTTTGATTGGTATAATTTGAATGAAGTGTTTTGCAATACAACAACAGACGGGCGCATAGCGCATGACATGATACAGAGCGTGTGACACAGGGTTTTCTTTGTCATTGTCTATAACGCGCAACGGGTGCATGACCGAAGACCCGATATAGAAAGCGCCCACTGATTGGTAAAAATCTAGAGGTCAAGAGCGGTCTTCTTGCCTAATTAATGAGCGAATCTGCTCATCATAGACCACGTACATATAGACTACATTCCGATATCCGATAATCCCATATATATGGTCTATTGAATAATCCCTTGCACAGCAAGGGTCTATGATATGCCAAAATAAAATATTATAGTTTTAGTGATATGACTCTTCTTTAACTTATTTTTAGTGGGAGTGGCTTTGACTGGACCACAATCGAATGGACCAGCAGTGTATGCATCTTTTTATGCCAGGGGGTCAAAATAATAACTTCACAGTTCCGACGTCTGAACCGTCTTAAAACCGTCCAAAAATGATGTTATTTTTCTGTTTATGTCGTCATCAAAAGTCCGCCCATTGGGAGCAAGTTATGGTACAGTCCATGGTCTTATCCCCGTCTCTCTACAGACGGGTTCCATTCAATCCCATTCGCTCAGGCATCACCGGGCTGCCCGATACCGGACTCTCTGACGTCACCACCGACGAGGATTTCGTCATGGCCGCTCCTGCGCTGGTCCCGGACTTGCCGGTCGACATTGTACCACTGCGGCTGCTGGTACCCGCGGAGCGTTTCCCGCCCAACTTGCGACGCCACATGCTCCACACACGCCGGTTGCAGACGAAGGCCATGAACACGAAACAGCCGTGGAACGCGTTCAGGGTGATGGCGACGTAGTAAATGGCGGTCTCTCCCGTGAACGCGGCGATGAAGAACCAAATCCAGGTGAGTCCCATCAGAACAGACACCTTGAAAGTAAAAACCAAAACAAAATGAGATGTCACTTCTTAAAGCTATAGTCCATCATTTGTAATTAGTGCATTTTGTTCGTTTGAAGCAACAAAAGTGTTCAAAATCTAATGAAGGATACCGAACAACTTAATTGATGAAGTTTTAGCTTCAGCTTTATATTCCTCAATTTCAAATCAAAAGTTGCTAAATCATGTTTCGAATAGTTTTGAATAGCAGCTTTACGCGATGTCGCGCACTGATCCGACGAATTGTAGCAACCGCGCGCGCCTGTGCGTCGTTCCAATGCGTGTGCGCGCTGCGCCGAATAATAAAACGTACTACTAATTTAAATTTTCCTACGGTGCTTCTTAAGACGCACCGTTGGAAATGCCTTCTTTCGTTGATTTCTTCAAAATGAGAGCTTGCCAGAAAGGATAATTTCACAGGGAGATAGTCCCCTTACTATCTTTCAACCAGTATGTTTTTTTCAACAATAATTACGCCAGTTACTTTTTTGGATAGCTGCAAATGATGGACTCGGACTTTAACGGGGTAAACATTATGCCTAGCCTACCGCCCTCATGGATTGATCTGAAATTTCCACTATTGTTTACAAACACCGTTGACCAGTCATTTTGGTTGGAAAGACTTTAATCCATTACAATTTAAACGGTAGTAAGTACCTGAACTTACAGCTATTCCTCATAATTGTATAGGCCTATACATAAAGGGAGGTACAGTGTATGTAATCGGTATGTACTGTCTGTTAACTAGTAAAGTATATTTTTGTGTTTTGTTACGCGATATGCTATATACATTTTCTAATTAACATAAACCATCAATGTATACAGAGCGCCATTTTGTATGGGCGGCCAACAATGTCATAATTTCAACCGTGGTTGACAACAGACGCCCCATGCGCCGTCAGCATTTAAAAGAGAGGCATGTTTGGTGTGTTATTTACTCAGTGCTGTCAATATAGTTTAATGTGTTGTAAAAGTTGAATGAAATTTATTCTTTTGTTCTGTAATGGTGGCCCAATGAGCTGACAAAATTTGCAAAAAGGACAAATTGCAGCTGTGGCATACAAAAAGAAACGTCGGTATAATTCCGAATGTTATTCCCGATGTGGATTCTTTTGGGGTTTTTTGCAATGACGGTCGCCCATATATTTATATACTTCAGGTTTTGTAAAACACCCCTCCCGCCATAAATATTATCTATGGTATGTGCCTCACGCGCGCAGTGCTAAAAAAAATCTCCTTATTTGGAAATTGGCGCGCTGGGCGCGTAGTGCGCGACGTAGCGCAGAACGCAGCGGTGTTTTATCGGCGGTTTAAAACCACCCACGTGACTGGCTCTCGACCAATAGGACTGGGTGAACCGTCTCATGTATTTATGAATAGGCATTCAATTAAGTTTACTTCAGGGGAAACAGATTATTTTTGACTCCTTATTTGTCGATGCAAACCTTTAAGTAGATGAAGAATTCATCACTCGCTCTCTTCATAGCCGACTTATCCTTCTCGATAAAGCTTGTGATTTTCTTGGAGGCCCGCAGGCCGATGACGGTCTTGCCAAAGAGGGCGGCGTTCACTACCAAGGACGCCACCACCGGCAACCCGAAGGCTATGAGGTTGGCCAGCTCTGGGCGTATCCAGCACACCCCGCCCAGACCGTAGTTGAAGTCGATGGCTCCCTCGGAAGGGAAGGAGTAGACGAAGTGAAGTGGGAGGCAGATGATGACGATGAAGGCCGGCGCGCCCCAGCTGAAGACGCACATCCACGTGAGGGCGTGACCACCCTTCTCGACCAACCTCGGCCCGGTTGTCATGGAGAATGTGCGGCTGACGTCAAAGCTGTATGAGCAAGAATAAAATAATGCTCAACTGCATATCTAATAATTTCTACAACAGTTTCTGTTCCGATTACAATATCTCTGTAATTCTGACATGTGTAACTAAAGGAATGGCTGCTATTAGTTGTATATGATGGTGTTGTCAATTTGGCTTTTTTTGTCTTTTCATTGAAATAGTAATCTATTATGTCCAGGCGACAGTAGGTTCGTGTTCTCCTCTATATCCTGTAGTTTGATGGTCATGGTAATTATGACATAATATCATTCCTCATTGGCGTTTTCGGTGACAAAATATGAAGAAGCAGTTTTGTGTGTGATGAAGACTGTTTTCAAGACTGATCTGTGGCTGAGACTGTGGAAGGACAATGTCGCCAGAACAAGCCATCAGCAACATTTTTAAGAATATTGTTGATATAAAAAAGTAATTGTCGTGTATAGCTTGACTGAATTTACAGTTAATATCATGTTTGTTGTGTTTTGTTGGAGAAAAAAGTATTATTTACCCTAGGGCTGTCATCCAGAAGAAGCAGGCCAGCCAGATGTAATGGGACACCACCGCCATGAAGGTACAGACTCCAGGGGAGTCGCGAAGCGCGGAGCCTCCAACCAACAGCAAGATCTCCCCTGTGAACAGCGCCACCACGAAATGCATAGTTGCCAGCCCGGGTACAGTGCGTAGACTCGAGAACGCGCAGTAGGTCACGAAGGTCAGGAGAAGCGCCAGCGAGGACAGCGAAGTGCCCACCACGTTGAGGACGTACTGAGGGAGTGAGTAGTCGAACCAAGGGTCTTGGAAGGCATACTGACAGACTTTAGCGCTGTTGTTCGGGAGGAGTAGGTACTCAGATGACTCTAAGTACCTTCCCTCGATGTTGAACTTCATCACACCGTCTTCTATCAGGTACTCAGATTGGCCGAGAGTGATGTGATAACACAGAAGGTCTTGAGTGGCGTTGCAGATGACGATCTCTCGATGGACGCTCTCGACGTTCGGCGAGGAACTCTGAAGTGCATACTCCACGCGATCGAAGACGGTGTCTGTACGGTACAACAAAGGCTTGTCCTCGCTGGGGTAGATGTACTTGACGCCTTCGAAGACGTAGACGGTCACGAGGTCTGGGTCAAAGGTCATCTCCTCGCAGCGGTCAAGAGAAACATCTTCGGTGCAGGATTGTGTCAGCTTCACGCTTAGGAGTTCTACCGATGGGGCGTGACTGGCAAGAGTAAACTTCAACGATGTCATCTGGCCAGTGAGGTTGTTGAATTGTTCCCAGGTCGTACTGGTGTTGGACACATCGAAGGACAAAGACCACATTGTCTCGGGGGTTTCTTGATTGGGAGTGGGTGCCGATGCTTCAACTCCGTAAGTCACGAGATTGAGGTTGGTGAAGGCAGTGTGGTTGTCGAGATGTAGGGCTTCTTCGAACAGCGATACAAAGATTTCCACCCAGGAGTTTAGTGCAGTCTTTTCATCAACTGAGACAATGGCAATCGCTTGTACAACAGGGTAGAGTTTGTTGCAGTACACACCACTCATCTCACCTGCTGGAATGCACTCTTGGGCGTTGAACGAGTAGTTGAAGCCATACGGGCACTCCAGGTCCAGTGCAACCGAGTCGATAGCATCATCTGCAAGCGGGAGAAAGTCGAAAGGGATTGAGAGCGGGGTGTCGCCACTCCCTGGGATGGCTCTCGGGTTGAAGCAGTCACTTTGTAGAGTGATGCCGTTGCAGATGACACAGTGTGGGTTTTTGTACCACTCTTTGTCCAACTGAATCAGAGCCGTGTAGCTCTTGCAATAAACAGCCGCCCACGATCCGGAAACATTGCCAAGTAAATCCGGGCAGTCCTCGACCACATCTGGCTTGCAGATTCTGGCTTGCTGAAAGGGTGCGTCACCAGCTTCGACCGCTGGACGTGACGGGGAGAACCGGTAGGCGAACTTCTCGCAGTCGACATCCTCAACCGTTGACGGAGGGGTAAAAACGCTCTCCGTGCACTTGATTTTGCCGAGATTCCAAGGATGCATATCTTGGAGTTTGACTCCCCGGCAGAAGGCACAGTAGATGTTCTTGTAGTGTCTCCACTCCTCACCCAACCTGCCTGTCACCGGTATGGAATGGACCAACGTCTCGGTGTCATTTAAAGTCAGGTTGCCGATTAGAGTCTCCTGTTCCGAGTCGCACTTGGACACAATCTCCTTGTTCTTGTAACCGGACGGACAGCCTGCTTCCAGCCAGTGTCCGCCGTACTCGGGCCTCGATGGGATGACTCCCTCGTTGTTAAGATTGGAGATCCAGGTCCGGATGCACTGTTCGTCAGTGTGGCGTGCCGAGGTGATGTCGGGCCAGGAGAATGAATCCCCGGCTGGAGTGGGAGGCCAGGCCTCGTAGCAGACATTGCGGGGACTGTCGTGACAGCAGTCGCCATAAACATCACAGATCTCGTCACACAAGCAGCGCGGCAAGGTGTCCAGAAGCGCCAGGCACTCCTGTTGACAGCCTTCCTCATCCGGACAGGAAGTTGGTAGGGTGTCGTTGATCCCGCAGGTGACCTTCTGGCCAAGCCCGATTGGATATGCTTCAGGTATCCCAACCGGTGGATCAACTGTGCATTGAAAAATAAAATAAAGGAAGAAAGTCTTTACATGGCGCTTCATCTTCGCAAGGTTAGCCTAAAGGCATCCTTTTTACCTTGTCTGAACAAGGCCTCAAAATCTCTCGCGGCGGATTACGCGATAATAGGTCAGGTCTCTAGTGAGGATACTGTGAACTGTTGACTGAATTTTTCTTGCTGCTGCGAACACCTGCCGTGACTGGTACCATTACCATCTTGTATATTACTACATAAAATGAGTATGACTACCAGGCAACTAACTCCAGGTAACAATTCTCTCATGTGGAATATTTCTTAGTGTTTTACAATCACTGATGTATATCCTCATTGGTATTTCTTGATTTATGTGATAATAAGATTGGAACAAGTTTGTAATTACAAAATGCAAATACTGACGCGGTTTTAATAACCAAAACTCCATGAGAACAAGGGGCTTTAATTGGCCAATTTCAATCGCCATTAATCCCGAGATCTCGCTCGTTAGCGTGGCTTCACATTAATTTCAAGCCTCATTTTTACACCCGAATATCCTCGTGGTGAAATTTACGACCTCTCAAAGGATGCCGAGAACAGCAAAACTGCCTTCCCCACACGCTCGTCGATAATTATTACTTCACAGGAAGCAGTCTTTATTGTCTTTTTTTGTTGAGAGATAATTATCCTTTCTTGAGAGAAAATGAACTTTGTATGGGAGGCTGTTTGGACAGCTGGGCCGTAGCTGACCGGGTCGCTATTTTGTCTTGTTTATAACAGCGGCTCGTCTAGACCAGGTCTCCCATCGCTGTAGTCTTGGGAGATTGTGGATATGAATGATCTGTGTTCTATTTTTTTTTTATTATCGCCCAGTAAGCTAAATTTTGTTAGAATTTTTTTCAGGGGGAGGGATAAGTAGATGTCCAATCCAATAAAGATGTTTATTTCTCGTCACACGCTCAGGATGGAACGTTTAGGATTGAATATTATAGCGATCCCGCCTTTTTCTTGTGTCTTGTAACATTGTTCGTGGTTTAATTTCGCTTTGAACTTATTTTTCGCAGCATGCGTGAAACGCTGTCAGCTTTGTTGAATAACAAAAAGACACCAAGGTTTGTTAAATTAAATAAAGATACCACAGGTCAATATTTCTGTTTTGTGTGGCACACTTGTCTTTTTTTGTTTGTGGTTGGTACGGAAATGGCTGCTATAGTGGTAACTTCACAAACTCTACAAAATTACAAGCTTAAGTCTGTACCAGTGGTGGACGTGCCATCACTTGAAAATATCTGTTCTCGAAACGTCAGGGAACGTAATGATGCTCTTAATTATGTTATATGGTAGCACATTATTCAGTAGAAACATGTACGACATTTCAGTTAACTGTTTGGTACCAGTATTACGTACTAGCACTTCAAAACTATATCAGTAACAATACGTCCAGGAACATTACCAAGATGGCTGCGGTAACATATATATATACAATGTATATGCCCATTCACCACAAAACACACAGACTACCCATCTCCCAACACAATAAGATGTACGTTGAACATTTGTGAGTATTGCCGGAATGAACACAGCCGCAAAACAAAAAAGTACCGTTAGTGTTAAAGAAATTTCATAAATTTGGCGCTCCCCTTTGGTCGACTATTCCTTAACTGCACTAAATGACCAACAACAGAAAAGCTCCGGTCAACGAAGGATATTTGTATCAATTGTTATCCCATTAACATATTTCGCGCGTGGTCGGCCAAATGCTAAATCTCGGAATAAGAACCAAAGTGGATCCCATGTATAGAAGAAGGATGCCATAAATTTTCGTTTGCAAATAAGAGAATGGGCGTCGTATTGATAATAATTTACGACCACGTTTTATTGAATTGGCACGGTTTTTTGTAAAGGGTCAGTAAATGGATTGCGAAATCCAACAAGTATTAACGAACCTTTTTTATTTCAAGGGAAGATACAACATTTGCAAACATTAAAAAAAAATGATCAAATTATCACGAAATACCCTACTGAATTGTTAGGGATTGAAGCATCCTGCAAAATTGTGGCTCCTGATCTGCTGACATTTTCAATAAAAACTGTATTTTTCCAACGCTGGTCGGCCGACCAGCTTTGGAGAAAACTGGCTTCAGTTTTCAAAAACTGCTCCAAATTTTTCATGTTTAGTTATTCCGCATTTTCTTTGCAATTGATTACACACATGTGAAGGGGCACAAGCCTGCTAGACTGATTTGATTCTTTCACCTTACAAATTGTTCCCCAAAGTCTTTACATTTCTCCGTTCAATCATCTTAAGTACGTACGTCAGGGAATCAGACTACAAGAACATGATTGGTTTTTCTTGGTTTTTCCAGCATTTACAAGCCCAAAACGTGAAACAAGTCAGTGTGACAATATTTGCTATAACATACCAATCCTCCCAATCCATGTACTTCTGAAAATTGCAGCAAAAGCAAATGTTGTAGCCTACATTCCCTTTAAAAGAGAGAGGTCAACGTGAAATGTGTGAAAGCGATTTTTAAGGCATGTCGGGAAAATCAATAGATCTGATCCAACACAAAACTCCTCGGACCCGTACAAACTCTATGCATAATCTGTAAAACTTAAACTGCAAATTTCAAATCCTCTATCCGTCGACGAATGACTGCTTGAAACTCTTCAAATCAGGCCGAAGCTTTTTGCGTGTGTGCTCTGTCCAAACCGCACCGAAAGAGGCTTGGGCTGTGTTTAAATTGTCTGCTTCTGCAATATTGGTAAGATGTCTGGAAATTAAGCCAGAACACGAAAACATACATGGTCTGATAAAACAAATTTACTTTTTGGTGTAAAGAGAAGCTGTTAAAGCTGTGCAGTTAAGTCATAGACATAAAGGCTTTAATACTCAATGGACGAAAAAAGATATCCGTTCTGCCAGCTCGCTCGCTTCAATATTTGTTGCGTGCAAATTCAAATCTCCGGTCCAACTCGGCCTAAGACAGAATCACGCGTCCCATTTCGAATCAAAATATAAAATTTCCCCCGCACAAAACATATATCCCACTGGACGAAAAAGGGCTGTTACCTTAGAATCCTTTCGAGCCGTTAAAACCGCCTTGCTCTTTCAGCGAAGCACGGACGAGTGGACAGGGCAACAGAATTATCGGTCCCTCGCTTTACGGTCCGTCGTTTCTCGAGGACTTCTGGCTGAGTTAGATACTATCTATCTCTGCCGTCCTTGAGATGATTGTGAAGAGGTTTCACGATCGGAATGAACAATATTTGCCTCCTTAAGACCCAAACTCCGAACGGCTTTAATCTTTTAAAACCATTTCCTCATCAATTTGTTTTGTAAGAGTGAGTAAAATGTTAACAAATTACGAAATGACCGATCTCGAACCAACGCAAGCTATAATTGATGATAAATAACCATCAATAAAGCAAGGGGGCACAGCAACAGTAAATTTAGTAGTCCAGCAGGAAGAGCATTAGCAAAATAACATTTATATCAAGATGACAATAAAGGCAAACATGAAGTCATTTTTACGGAATGGAAAAGAATGAAAGAATGGAGGTTTTGATGTCATCAAGGCGTAAAAAGTTAACAACCGTTAAATTCACTACGCATGCCACAACGTTATATTAGCTTCGCTGACAATGCGTTGCTCAAGTTGTGCAAATGTCGTGAAATTTATCATTTTCTGGCACCCAATTAATATCGTCGCATGTAACCTTGCAATAGTTCATCAAAGTACCATCTTCACAGAATAAGCTGAGTAAACGCCCTCGACTTGAACGAGCTACATCAATTACAACCCGCGATCCCACTCCGAAACCCTCAAGAGGATCAAACTGAAGACTTCAATCACAAAGTCTCACGCGAGAATCAAAACAGCAAGAGTCTTGCACTGGCAAAACGCACACTTGACCTATTGTACGTGCCAGTGCGCCAAAAAAAAAAGAGAGACCAAAAGTATACCAAAACCATAAAGATGTCTATAATGCGGCGCCCTTAAACCGGAAGTCATAACGTTGGCAACAGCATGTGTGTTGTATCTGTCAATAATGTTCTCAAATTAATGTCCCAACCATGCAATACAAAAATTAATTAGAAAAGTTGGGTTTTTTTTTTTTGGACCGTATACATCCGAGTAGGCTTCTCGGAAAATTAAATGTCACTGTGTTCATGTGCTTCGAATGAGTCTGGACATATACGTGCGATGGCACGCCTCGACGGACGAATTCGCACAGGGGGGAGATTGAATCTCAGTTAACATGATTCAGTAGTTCCTCGCAAGCGATGTTCGAGTCCAATTATTCAAATTGGAACTTTGATTTTTTTTGGGGGGGGGAGGGCTCACAGGTACGTTCTTATCATGTTCACTCTTATTTCCACAGAAATGAACATTTACTGCATTAGTTGATTCCACTTTGCAAGGAGAGAGACACTTGGTTGGGTTTTTTTTGGGGGGGGGTCGCTCATTTTCTAGAAGGGGCACTCAATGAGTAGTCTGAGGATATAGTTCACGTGTGCTCCACGACAAGCGTCAGGTATTATGTGAACGTGCAAATTGTACGCGACTCCGCGCGCCCGATCAGAGTCGATTCGGTCATGACGTCATTTCGATCAGACATGTGGACTAAGCTGTTGATTGGTCAATTTGGCAGACGCTTTTTTTTTCTTTTTTAGTACAACAACGGGTAACCAAAGACCCCGCTTACCGAAGAAGGCTCCCGCTGAATGGTCAGATCTGGAGATGATAAAGTCGCAGTTCTTGTTTTGCATTAATCGCCGATTCTGCTCGCATATCATAGATCCTTTCTGTGCGAGGGACATGCCGTATACTATTCGATGGGTTGTCAGCGTTTTTACCAACTGCACTCTGAGCGGTGGTATGTGCGCATTCAATAGTGGACATTGATTAATAGAGGACCCTTTGGTCCACGATTGGGTGAATGTCCACAGTTGGAAATCGTGTACCATATAACCGATGTGTATTCTTTTTCAACAATATTATGCGTTCAATAGT